TCCATTGTAGGTGAAGTATGTATTGGATAGGCAGTGGTTGGTTAGATCTAGGATGTGCTTGGGGGGGTTGTATTTGTTTTGGATGGCTGTCAAGGCTTCTTTTATTGGCACTTGGGTGAAGAGGGATATGACATCGAAGCTTACTAGTAGGTCGCTAGGTTGTAAGTTTTGTTTCTTTATGATCTCGATGAACTGGAATGAGTTTCTTACATGTGAGTTGATGGATTCTGCATAGGGTTGTAGTTGTTTGGCGAGAAATTTGGCCAGGTTTTGTAGAGGTGAGCCTATGGAGCTGACTATTGGTCTGAGTGGGGTTCCTTCTTTGTGTATTTTGGGGAGACCATAAAGCTTGGGGCATCTGGATGATTTTTCTCTGGGTATGATTCCTTGCTGGATTTCTTCACTGATGGGGGAGGCTTTTATTTTGGATTTGGTAGTTTTTTCTAGGTAGGTGGTGGGGTCTGTCTTTAGGGGTTTGTATGTGGGGTCTTGGAGTAGGTTGGTTAACTTGGTTTGGTAGTCAGATGTGTTCATAACCACTGTCGCGTTGCCCTTGTCTGCTGGTAGGATTATTATGCTGCTGTCTTCTTTCAGGTTAAATAGTGCAGTTTGTTCTTCTTTGGATAAGTTGCTTTTGGGTGGTTTGCTAGTGCAGAGGATGTTGGTGATTTCGAGTCTGATTTTGTTAGCATCGTCAGGGTTGGTTTTGGTCAGGCTGGTTTCAACTCCGCATATGATGGTTTCTGTGGGGATGTGTTTGGGAGCGACAGCAAAGTTGAATCCTTTTGAAAGGACCTTGGTTTCAGCTTCAGTGAGGGTCTTGTCTGAGATGTTGTGCACTGTTTGTTTCATGTGTGGCTGTGCGGGGGGAGGAGTTGGTTTCTGGCGTTGTTGTAGTTTCCTGAGTTTGTTGGTGTGTGTGTCTGTCTTGAGGGTGGTCTGTGTTTCGGCTCTCCAGACAGCGAGTTGTTTGGATTTGTCCCAAAGTAGGGGGTGAATCTTGTTGCTGAGTCTGAGGTGGAGTGTGAGGAGATCTTTGTTGATTTGGTCTAGGAGAAACCTTTTTGTGTGAAGTTCATTTCTAATTAGGGCCAGTTCTGTTCTTTTTAGGATGCGTTTGGTGGCTACTGTGTTGGTGTGGAATTTCAATTGGAAGCTTGTGGGAATTAAATTTTTATCTCGGCAGTTGCATAGGAATGCAAGGTCACATAAAATGGAAGCTCTTTGGACTTCAAGTTTTTCATAAGTCCTGGTCAGATGGTGGGTTTCCTCCCCGTAGAGGTGCAATATTATATTGATAATATTGATACTTCATCGAAACGTTGCCTAGATACTTCGAATCTTACGCGGGAGAAAACCCGAACAACCAAAGATCCACATACACACACACACACACACACACACACACTTTATATATGGGGCAGTATTTCATCAGTGATAACAGAATAGCAGAGTTGGAAGGGACCTTGAAGGTCATCTAATCCAACCCCCTGCTCCAGCAGAAAATGGCTACCCAATCACTTCTTAAAAACTTCCGGTGTTGGAGCATTTACAACCTCTGGAGGGAAAATTGTCCCACTGACTAATTGTTCTCACCGTCAGGAAATTCCTCCTTAGTTCTAGGTTGCTTCTCTCCTTGATTAGCTTCCATCCGTCTGCCGTTAATCTTTGGCAGGGTTGCAGGGAGTAGCGCCAAGGTGGTAAGTCCAAAGTAGAAGGGGATACTACTTCAGGGGGGAGGATTAGCCTTTTCTATCCACTCCCCCCCCCTTCAACTCCTCTTTGCATTCTTCCAAGTGACAGATTGCAAAACAGGGGCAGCAGTTCTTCACTGCTCTCTGGCATACAAGTTTGAAATGAGGCCAAGGGCTGCATGAAATTAGCTCCGGGCTGGATGTGATCCCAGGCCTGATCCTAAAGTGCATTGCAGATTGGAATGCAGCCAAACTCCTGTTGATTTGAGAACAGAATAACAGAGTTGGGAAGGGACCTTGAAGGTCTTCTAGTCCAACCCTCTGCTAAAGCGGGGGACCCTATACCATTTCAGACAAATGGTTGTCCAATTTCTTCTTAAAGACCTCCAGTGTTGGAGCATTTGCAACTTCTAGAAGCAAGTTGTTCAGCTGTCCCAAAGGTGATTTTTTTTTTTTCAAGAGGCAACTCGTCTTCTTTGTTTTTCTTTGAAGAGGTTTTGCTTCTCATCCAAGAAGCTTCTTCAGCTCTGACTGGATTCCCCATCATCCAGTCAGAGCTGAAGAAGCTTCTTGGATGAGAAGCAAAACCTCTTCAAAGAAAAACAGCAAAGTCCACTTGCTTCTTGAAAAATCTCCTTTGGGACAACTATGACTTAGATGACTGAGAATCTCTGAAGTCCTTCTACCGATTAATTGTTCTCACTGTCAGGAAATTTCTCCTTAGTTCTGGGTTGATTAGTTTCCATTGGTTTCTTCTTGTCCTGCCCTCAGGGGCTTTGGAGAATAAATCTGGATTTTAATGCATGCACCTGCTAAAGGCTAGGTAATTCAGGGCTGTTGTTTTCACAGTACAATGGGGGGGATGAATGCAACCCAAATGATATAAAGAGGGGGAGAGAATGCATTCATAGAAGAGTGATTGGTGGCTACCATGGCTGTTTTCTATCTTCTGAACCACAAGTAGCTTAAGCAGCTGTTAAGGAAGAAATGTGGAGGAGAGTAATTACATTATGGATGTTTGTTTGTAAGCTACTCAATCCTGGTTGACCACTGCGACAAAAAGCTGCTTAGAAAGGATGGGCCTCTTAATCTAATTTAGTCTCATAGTTCTTTCAAGACTTTTATGGATTGCGTCATATGATCCCCTGCAATGCTACAACATTTATTAATAGAAGAGGATTATTTACAGCTCAGGATTGACTTTTGGGGTCCTTGGTGCTCTCTGAGCTTGGTTGCTTGCTTGCAGACATTTCACAACCCAACTAGGTAACATAATCAGTGCACCAAGAGAATGGGGTTTGCCCTCTATATCAGTGGTTGCCAACTAGTGCGCCGGGGACCACTGGTGGTCTGCGAGAAAATTTTGGTGGTAAACAGAGAAAATTTTGGTGGTACACCCAAAAAACATCCCCCAAAGCAATTAATCCAGGCTGCGCAGGAACACAAGGCTGCACTGCCCACATGGCCCATGGGAACACAAGGCTTGTGTCACTTGCCTTGCAAACAACATGAGGTAGTAAGGGGAGGGGGGAAGGGGGGAGGGGGGAACTTGCCCCACACGTCTGGCCTGGCCACCGGGCTGCTTCTTTCTGCTTCTTTCTTCTTCTGCTTTTGGTTGCACGCAAGGAAAGCAACAAAAGTCTTTCTCTCCCCCAAACTCCGCCAGAAATGAGTCTTTGGGACCCTGCAAGACATCCTGCTCCAAGAGGCTGCACTAGCAAAGACTCATTTCTGGCAGAGTTTGGGGAGAGAAAGAAAGACTTCTGCTGCTTTCCCTCTCTCCCCCTGAGAACGGAGCTGGAGATGATATCCTGTGATCCCAGAATGATCGATCGGTAGGAAAACTGGGTGGGGAATTTTCCTGAAGACTTTTTGGGGGGATTTTCCCAGGGTCTCTGATCTGCAGGATTTAAAATTATGATTTTGATAGTCCCTGAGGTTCAAAAGATATATCCTATTGCCTTGCTCTGTCAGTGTTGATGGGAGTGCCCTTGGTAGTTCCTTGATTAGGCTGTAGTTTTACTGTTTGATTTTTTTTTTGTCTGAAATTTAACATTGATATTAATCTCTGTTTATCAAGATTATTAATCTCTGTTTTTGGTTGCTGGCAGAGAAGGCGTTTTGATTTTTCGTTTCCTAAAGGGGGAAAAAACAGCTTCTTGCCAGCAATAATACCCAGCTAATAAGCAGAGATTCACACCAAGATTGATATTAGACCAACAATTGAGTAGTAAATGATCAAAAGCCTGATGAAGGAGCCACCAAGAACGCTACCACCAACACTGACAGGCCAGTATTTGTTTCTGTAGTCCTTGTCTTTAGGAGGGGATGAATGGTCAGTAGAAGTTTGCAAATCCCAGGAAGCTTTGAAGCTGTCTGCAAGCGTGAGGGGCTTGACAACCGAGGATGGCTTGTACTTTGGCTGGGTCCATCTCTATGCCTTTATTGGAGACTCGGTAGCCCAGGTAGTCCAACTGCATGCAGTGAAATTTGCATTTTGACTACTTAATGTACAGGTTTGCTGCTAGAAGTTTTTCCAGTACTTGGCGCACTAGGGGTACGTGGTTGTCCATCATCTCAGTGTAGATGAGAATGTCGTCCAAATAGACAAGGACCCCCTTATAAAGATGTTCGTGTAGCATCTCGTTTATTAATTGTATAGACACCGCCGGGGCTCCCTGTAGTCCAAAAGGCATGACTTTGAATTGGAAGCTCCCTAAGGAGCAGTTGAATACCGTTTTCCCTTCATCCGCCTCCCTGATGTGGATTCGGTAGTTTGCCTCCGTGAGGTCTAATTTAATAAAGACCTTTCCCTTGGCCAGGTGAGATAGCATGTCCTTCATGAGCGGGAGGTGGGTATAGGTTGTGTACACACATGCCATTGATGCTTCTAAAGTCTATGCATAACCTCAAAGTCCCATCTTTTTTCTCTTTGAACAGGACTGGGGCTGCAACTCGTGGTTTGGCCTGCTCGATAAACCCCCATATACATAAACAGCGAGCAAACCTCACTCCCTTCTAGCACTGATGAGATTGCCTAGCTGGGTAACAAAATGTCTGCAAGAACAGTCAAGCTCAAGAGGGCACCAAGGACCCCATTAAACTGAAAATATAGCTTTAACTATCCAGTAGAAAGTATGACCGGTGAATTACTAGTAGGCAATAAATCACAAGACGAAGTGGCGTGCATTTCCTGGCAGACAAAATTGGGCCGTTTACAAAAGAGAAAATGAAACGTTGGGTGTGGCAGTAATAAAAAAAAAAGTATTGAAAACATAAAATTGATCCACAGCAGCGTCCCTCTGGTCATGGGATCAGCCCTGCATCGGGAAACAGGAAATGAGTGTTATTTAAACTACAGAAGAAATGGGAAAAACAGAGAGATGAATCACTCCTTCCCCAAATTCTAAATGTAATAAAAGTGTGTAGCTCCAATAAAAACACTCTTAAAAGTGAACTGTGATGTCACCATGTATGCTAATAATAGAAATGGTTTTTATGTCTCTGCTTTTTAACACCTTCTGATTACTCTATTGGGAGTGACAGAAGAGAATCAGAATAGAGCTGGAAGGGACCTCAAAGGTCTTCTAGTCCAGCCCCTGCGCAAGCAGAAGATCCTATGTCATTTCAGACAAGCGACTGTCTAGTCTTTTCTTAAAGGAGCACCCACAAAACTTTCAAAGGCAACTTCTGTTCCACCGGTTAATTGTCCTCACTGTTTGGAAGTTTCTCCACAATTCCAGGTTGCTTCTCTCCTTGTTTAGTTTCCAGCCATTATTTCTTGCCCTGCCTTCAGGTGCTTTGGAGAATAATTTGACCCCACTCCTCTTTGTGGAAGCCCTTCAAATATTGGAATATTGCTATCATGTCACCCTTAGTCCTTTTTTCTAAACTAGCCAACCCAATTCCTGCAACCGTTCTTCGTATGTTTTAGTCTCCAGGCCTTTAATCATCTTAGTTGCTAGAGTTGTTAGAGAATCAAGAGTGCAAATCTGGCTTTTGAAATAAGGGTTTAGTTTTGCAATCAAATGGCAATTATCCCGCAGAATCAGAGGCACAATTCATGAACTTCTGGAAACACCCCCCCTTACTTTGAGTCACATACGCTCAAGATTTACCTCTTCTACTATCTCTGTGGCATCCTGTAGGAAGACATCTACCTGCAGGACCAGAATCCCCAGGCTGACCACGAGCCCCGGGAAATCCAGAGGGACCAATGCTACCTGGAGGTCCTTTGGAGCCTTGTTGGCCAACCATCATTTCTCCTGGAGGGCCTAGGTGAGAGGAAAAAATAGAACTAATATTCTGTCAGTCCAGGCTAATTATTCAGAGTTTTGCAGCGTTAATTCAGAGCCAGAAAAATAAACACAGATGGCTCATGCTTCATTTAATATCTTTATAAACATAATAAGTAGATTTTACAACCAGTTGTGGTTTTCTCCAACATGGAGCAAACTCGGACAGAAACATGTTGCAAATAACTTCAGTAGCAACTCAGGAACTCAGAAATAGACATCAGTTTCACTTTAGTTCATCAGGCAAGCAGAGGAGAGAAGCAGTTTCATTTTCAATAGACAGACTCAGAGCTCAACATAGCTGCAGAGCTGCAGAGCTTAATATAGGCTACTTTTAGTTTCAGTTTACAGCCTAGGCTAATTCTAGTTTCAGTTTCCAAAACAGTCCTCAATGGCTGACTTAGTTGCTATGCTTATTCATTGGCTGACCTGGTTACCAAGCTCTATTCCAGTTCATGAATATACTCTGACACTAATGATAACCTTTGGCTTAAACCCACAGAAATAGGAGAAATTGCTCGAAAAGAATGGCTGAGTCTTAATCTTATAAGACTCAGTTAAGGTGGCAATGTCTATAGTAGCTGGCTTCATCCGTTCTCCAAAATACAATGAGAAGATGGGACATGCTTAGTACTTGGATGTGAAATCACCAGGAAAACTGAGAGGGAAGTTGAAAACTAAGCGGACAATACAAATGATGCATCCATGCAGATTTCTTGGCGAGATACCTGAGGACTTCAACTCCCAGAATTCCCCAGCCAGCATAGGAATTCCAGGAGTTGAAGTCCACAAAACTTAGCGTTGCCAAGACATTAACCATTAAAGCACCCCTCCCTGATGCAGGAATGGGACAACGCACCCCAGCCAATTCTCCATGGCCAACTCATCGTGACCAGCTCATCATGGCTAACTCACCACAGGACAATTCGCCACAGCCAACTCACTGCTGGACAATGTAACCATTTTATTTAATTATTTAAAATAACTTAAAAGTTATTTAAATTTTTGTCATTCACATTTCAATTTATCTCCCATTTTGCACCCTTTCTTTAATGATTCTATGCCACCATTTCTTTCATGTTATGTAACTTTTGTCCCACAGTGAGTTCCAGAGGTGGTATTCAGCAGGTTCTGACCAGTTCTGGAGAACCGGTAGCGAAAATTTAGAGTAGTTCAGAGAACCAGCAAATCCTACCTCTGACTGGCCCCACCCCCATCTATTCCCTGCCTCCCATTGAGTCCCAGCTGATCGGCTGGGTCTTCCTTGGTTGCCCTGCACAGGAGAACGGAGCTGGAAAGCAGGTGAGTGGGATGGGAAGGAAATGGGGATTTTGCAGTATCCTTCCGCTGCCATGCCCATCAAGCCACGCCCACCAAGCCATGCCACGCCCAAGAACCAGTAGTAAAAATTTTTGAATCCCACCACTGGTGAGTTGACTGTGGCAAGTTGGCCACAGCAAGTTGACTCTGGCGAGTTGTCCTTAGAATACAGGTGTCAAACTCGATTTCATTGTGGGTCGCATCAGGATTGTGTTTGATCTCGGGGGGGGGGGGGGGCAGAGTGAGCGTGGCCAGCTCGATGTCACTCAGGTCAGGGGTGCTTGTGATGGCCTAAGCACTCAGCCAGAGAAACCGCGCTCCCGAGCTGTGTTTTCAGCTGTGATGGCCTACCCTCTACCAGTGAAAACGGAGCTCGGGAGAGCTCCATTTTTGCTGGCAGAGGCACCACAGGCTGGTCCTTTGCTGTTTCCAGGCTGGCCCCACAGGCCAGCTCTAAGAACCCCGCAGGCCGAATCTGACCCCCGCCCCAGGCCTTGAGTTTAACACCCCTGTCATAGACCCTCCCTGATGAACTCTTAGCTTGAACATAGATACACATTCAGGGAGGAGGAGGAACCCAACATCCCTCTGGACAGTTGGTTCTGCAGTTGCACAGAACGCAGAATAAGGACTGTTTGCCTATATATATATACATGTATTTTCAGAGATGAATGACTATACCTGCTTGACCTCTTGGTCCTTCAGAACCTTCCACCCTTTGTCCAAAAGAGCCTTTTTCTCCCTTGGGCCCAGGGACACCTGATGGAGGAGAAGAGCCATTTAGAACATAGAATAGTATCGTTGGACCTTGGAGGTCTTCTAGTCCACCCCCCTGCTCAAATAGGAGACCCTATACCATTTCAGACAAATGGCTGTCCATTTTCTTCTCGAAAACCTCCAGGGATAGAGATTCATTGACGGTCTTCATTTGAAGCTAGCCAAGGGTGTGAGATTCTTAATTCAACTGGACTCATTCTGCTCCATTCTCAGCTCATTGTACAATCTAAAGACACCTTTCTGGCTTTACAGCAAATCCATTCCTGAGTAGAATAATGTTGACTTCTACTTGTAAATGAAATTAAAAGGGAGACCTCAGACTAAATCGAAGAGCAACCGTGCAGTCAAAGTTCCATCTTTTTTTTAATTTCTTTTACACGCATTGTGACCCCCGTCCTAATTTTTTGGACAGCTTTCTGTGGAACTTTTTGGACAGCTGGTGCAAAAACGTTGTTTGATTCACTCCGAAAGATCAGCTATGAGAACATCTAAAGTATATCAGGGAACCTTAAGACTTGTTGACTTCAACTCCCAGCATGGCACGGTTGGCTGGGGAATTCTGGGAGCGGAAATCTACAAATCTTAGAGTTGCCTAGATTGGACATTCAGATCTATATAATCAGTGGCATCTGTAACCAACTTGAGTTGTTCCTAAGATGTAAGGGCAGATCATCAGATCATGAATCAAAAAAAGGAGAAGGAGAAGGAGAAGGAGAAGGAGAAGGAGAAGGAGAAGGGGAAGAGGAAGAAGAAGAAGAAGAAGAAGAAGAAGAAGAAGAAGAAGAAGAAGAAGAAGAAGAAGAAGAAGGCTGAGTGACAGATTGGTGTGCGATCTACTTTCTTTGCTGGCCAATTAAATCAGCAACTTTGCCTGTTTTACTTGGCCTGCAAGCTGAAGTAAAATACATCACCAAGGGAGCTTAAATATCTGTTCTTGCTGTCAGAGACTTTTTCTGTCTATAATCACCTTCTTGGGATCTAAGAATAACCCAGCGGTGTTCAAAATAAGAGGGCAAGGCATAGATCGATCCTCAAATGGAGACATATGACCTCTTATTTGCAATAAAGACTCGTGTCTTCTCAACACGTTTAGCTCTGAGTCAAGACGGGACCAGCAGCTTAAATATTTTTGGCCATCAAATGAGAAGAGAGAACTCATTGGAGAAAACCCTGATGTTGGGAAAGATGGAAGGCAAAAGGAGAAAGGGAGGGAAGGGGAGGAGATGGTTAAATAGGGTCATCCAGGTAATGAACATGAGTTTGGGAGATTCCAAAAGACAGTGGAGGATTGGGGGGGGGCTGGCATCTGTGGTCCATGGGGTCATGAAAAATTGGACATGATTTAGTTAGTGTCTGAACAGTAACAAGATGGGGGAGAGACCACCCAAATAGGTGTTGCTACTTACCCCCACCCCCTTCTGAAGATATAGGAATGATCTAATTTGAAAATAAAACCAACTGGTATGCATTTGCCTGCTCCCAACTGACAGGAACCAAGATGATAGATGGAAAATCACCATGCAAAGGCTGTCTCTTTCATACCTCTGCAGCAGTGGTGGTATACTACCGGTTCGGCCCGGTTCAGCTGAACTGGTAGTAAAAAAAGCCCCTGATGATCAGCTGAGAGGAGAAAAAAAAAAGCTGATTGGCTGAGAGGAGAAATAAGAGAAAAGCGCAGGATTGGCCCTCCCATCCGCCCCTGCGCTCTTCTCTTCTTTCTCCCCTCAGCTGATTGGCGCTGCAGGTCTCAGCTGGTGTGTGGAAAGCTGTGCATGCTTGTTAGGTGCGTGTGCGTGCAATCACCAAACTGGTAGCGGAACAGGTGGGATCCCACTGCTGCTCTGTGGGATGCATGCACCAAAAGGGTGGAGCTTACAGTGCGACACTCCATCTACCATTAAAGTTTGATGAAAAGAAGGACTAGGGGTGACATGATAGCAGTGTTCCAATATCTCAGGGGCTGCCCCAAAGAAGAGGGAGTCAAGCTATTCTCCAAAGCACCTGAAGGCAGAAAAAGGAGCAATGAATGGAAACTCATCAAGGAGAGAAGCAACCTAGAACTAAGGAGGAATTTCCTGACAGTGAGAACAATTAATCAGCGGAACAACTTGCCTCCAGAAGTTGTGAATGCTCCAACACTGGAAGTTTTAAAGAAGAGCTTGGACAACCATTTGTCTGAAACGATATAAGATCTCCTGCTTGAGCAGGGGGTCAGACTTGAAGACCTCCAAGGTCCTATCTGTTCTGTTCTGCTGAATCCTTCCTCCTCCTAATTTCCCCCACTGCAGCAATTTTGTGGTTTTACCTCTTTCTCCCGGGTATCCGTTTCTTCCTGGAAGTCCAGGCATCCCAATTTCTCCTCTTTCACCTTTAATTCCAGGGAAACCAATCTGACCCATTGGACCAGGCTCTCCAGCCTTCGGTTCCTCCTCCTCCCGGATGGGGACAGGTTTCCGCGATTGCTCGTGAACGAAAGTGTCGAACTTTAACACATGAGCTGAAGGAGAAGCATGGAAAGTGGTGAGATTTTCTTCCTTGCCTCCCCACCCAAACTGTTCTGCTTCCTGCATTTGCTGGGGTCCTTTCGCAAAATCTTTTTAAAAACATGAACAATAGGCTTCCCCGCTCCCAGATCTACGCAAACAAACTGAGCGTCATTCTTGTCAATATCAGCTAGTGCTCCGCTTACAATTGAGCCCAGCGTTTCTGTTGCCAAGTGAGACAGTTGCTAAGTGAGACTTACCCCATTTTACAACCCTTCCTTCGTATTCGTAAAAGATCCTTGAAGACAGGTAGTCATTGACTTACAATCATTTGTTTAGTGACCATTTGAACAGAGGTGGTGTTCAGCTGGTTCTGATCAGTTCTGGATAGAACGGAAATTTTGAGTAGTTCAGAGAACTGGCAAATACCGCCTCTGACTGGGCCCGCCCCCCCTCTATTCTCGGCCTCCCATTGAGTCCCAGCTGATCGGCTGGGTCTTCTTTGGTTGCCCTGCACAGGGGATGTCATGCCCCTGTTGGACACTGACTCTGAGGGAGAGGAGGAACAGGCGACAGGGAGTAGAAGTGTGGCTCCAGAGGTTGTGGAGGAGGCTGGGGAAGGGCTGGGCAGTTAGAGGAAGACCCAGGCCCATCCCGTCTCCATCCTAGGGCACGCAGGGAAGATAAGGGAGAGACGTGAATGGCGTGGTCTATGGGGGAGGAAAGTGCCTTGATCCTCTTCATGGGCTGCAGCTGTGAGAACTGGTTGAAAGGACGGACATGCGTATGGGCCAGTGCTGGAAACAAAGCATGGAAATATCTCTAGTCTGTTCTTCTCTGAGTTTGGCGTCCTTCCCAGTGTGTGTTCTGATATCTGTGGATGTCTTCAAGCCCTGATCTTGCCTGGTTCCCTTAATTGGTACAGTGTGGCTTGTGTTGCTTTTACTCTTATAATTTATAGGCATTTTTAGTTTAAACGGCATTTTCTCCTTTTCGTAACTGCTTTGTGGGGGAGTTTTTTTGTCTCCAGTCAAGGATATTTGGAGCTTTGAAACAAAGTGAAGGAATAAAAGGGGCTTCATCTGTTTTCGTGACTGTGTTTATTTTGTATCCCACCCTGGGTCATCACAGGAGAACGGAGCTGGAAAGCAGGTTAGTGGGGTAGGGACGGAATGGGGATTTTTGCAGTAACCTTCCCCTGCTACACCCACCAAGCCACGCCCACAGAACCAGTTGTAAAAAAATGTGACTACCACCACTGGATTTGAAGTTATAACACCACTGAAAAAAGTGAATTGTGACCGTATTTCACACTTACGACCATTGCGGCATCCGTGTGGTCTTGGGATCCAAATTCAGATGCTTGTCAACTGGCCCATATTTATGATGGTTGCAGTGATCCCCTCTTATGACCTTCTGACAAGCAATGTCACTGGGGAAGCCGGATTCACTTAACAACCCTATTAGCGATTTAACAACTGCAATGATTCACTTAACAATTTGTGGCAAGAAAGGATGTAAAATGAGGCAAAGCTCACTTTACAATGATCTTGCTTAGCAAAGGAAGGAAGGAAAATTTTGGGCTCAATTGCAGCTGTAAGTTGAGGACTCTCTGCAGTCAGAACTAGGGTAATTGATTCTAAATTGAAAGAAGGTGCATTAGTTGGGGTGGAATGGCGATATAAGAAGCTGCCAGAAAGGAAAAAGTAAGGAGCATCTTTTATTTTAAAAAAGAACCAATTAAATAGAAGGCTGTCTGCCTATTGCACACCTGGCAGTTCTACACAATCTAAAAATCTGGAAGGAACAAGGATCGTCTATGATGAGTGAATCATTTTTAATGGGTAATTCCAACATTTGACTATATGAAATCAAGCTGAGGGCACGGACAGAGCAGAAAGAATATAGAAAGAAGCAATTGGCCATGTGACTTCTTGGTTGCTCTGCTGCGATTTGCTCTACATGGGGCTGCCTTTGAAGATCACCTCTAATCCTAAATTGATTTGTCAAATTGACATCAATGGGTAGACCTTCCTCCCTCCCTCCCTCTCTCCTCTCCCTTCCTAAAAAAAATTTATCTTCCTTCCTTCCTGCCTCTCCGCCTGCCTGCCTTTCTTCCTACCCTCATAAAACCTTCCTTCCTTCTTTCCTCCCTCCCTCATATAAACCTTCCCTCCTTCTTTCCTTCCTCCCATCCTCATAAAAACCTTCCTGCCTGCCTGCCTTCCTTCCTTCCTTCTTCCCTCCTTCCCTCTCTCATAAAAATCTTCCTTCCTTCCTCCCTCCTTTTTTCCTCCCTCTCTCATAAAAATCTCTCTCTCTCCCTCCCTCCTTCCCTCCCTCCCTCCTTCCCTCCCTCCCTCCCTTCCTTCTGCATAGAAAGTCACAATATCTGAAAACATACTTGTATTGTTTTAGGTTTTCAATCTATTAACAGACATTGAAACTATATATATATAGTTACATAAGGATTTTCCATTGAAGGAGGGGATAAAACTCATTCAGTCATTATATGGGGAGGGGCGGGGGGTGGAGGTCTATCATATAATTCAGTTCTCGGGGAAACACAGCAATTTCCATCTGAGGGTTATCTGGGAAAGCATAATCAATTTCCGTTCCTTCTCAGCATAAACATAAAGTTTCCAAACATCCCAAGTTGGTTGGTCTTGAAGGTGTCACCAGAATCAGTACAGGTAGTCCCTGACTTACAACATTTTGTTCAGTGATCCTTAAAAGGGTTACAAACACACTGAAAAAAAAAGTGACTTATGACCATTTTTCACACTGAATGACCATTGCAACATCCCCTATGGTCACATGATAAAAATTCAGAAGCCGGGCAGCTGGCTCATATTTGTGACAATTACAGTGTCCCAGAGTCATATGACCCCCTTTTGCGACCTTCTCACAACCAAAGCCAATGGAGGAAGCCAGACTCACTTAACAACTGAGCTACCAACTTAACAACTGCAGCGATTCCCTTAACAACGGTGGCCGGAAAGGTCATAAAATGGGACAAAACTCACTTATCAACTGTCTCGCAGAGGAACAGACATTTTGGCCTCAACTGTGGTCAGAAGTCAAGGATCACCTTTATTTATTTTATTGCAACAGACTACACAGCTCGGCCCCCTCGCTCGCACAGCTAGCACCTATTGTTTCAAAACTTGGTGTCAGTGTTCCAGAAAACCTCCACTCCAACAAATAACTCTGAGACAGGCGTCTTCTCAACAGTTATATTATTTTGGATAGTAAACTGGCACAACTGAGGAATCCCGAACCTGAAAGTTCCAGGCTTCCTTGCAATAAGTAGTGAATAATATATAATAAGTAGTGAATAATGAACAAGGAGAGATTTAACCTGGAAATAAGGACAAACTTTCTGACAGTGAGACCAATCAACCCATGGAACAGAAGTTGCCCTGGGAAGTGGTGGGAGCTTCACCACTTGAGACCTTCAAGAAGAGATTGGACTGCCATTTGTCAGAAATGGTGTAGGGTCTCCCGCTTGGGTGGTGGGTTGGACTAGATGACCTATAAGGTCCCTTCCAACTCTGATTAACTGTTATCTGTTAAGTAAAAACTACAAATCCATCTCCTGCAGCCATCACCACATCACATGCCCCATTTACCATCCGACCCAACTTGAGAACTTCCCCTCACTTATGCGCAAAATGACATGACCTTGAATTAGAAAAAAAATGCTATTATGTTTAACTACATACACTCCAAGAAATTCCCCCCTCCCACTTTCTCAGGCTCAAAATGTGGCAGTGTGGCAGCATCTGGTCTCAATATGGCTTCCAAAGCTGACACTTGGCAGGGGTATTTTTCTCCTGTTGCCATCAACAACTCTTCCTTAACTGAGCCACAAGTTCTCTGTGGGGAACTTTGAGTCCGAATCTATTTCCAAGCTAAGTTCTTTTTAATGGACAGCAGTGCTGTGCAATCTCAACTGGTTCGTAGAATGACATCCAGTTTTCACTGTGTGTGGGGTTTTTTTTTTTTTCAATTAGCAGCAGTGATGGGTATGCCACTGGAAGACCAGAGTGGGCATAGTTCACCCTGGAGAAGGACTATTTATACGGTTGCTAAGCATCAGCGCCAACCTGATGGCACAGAACAAAAGCAATTGTGTTCTTGAGGGATCATCAGCCAGGCACATTTGCATTCAGAACCAGGTAGCAGCAAGTAAGCAACATTCTGAACCTCAATTGACCACAGAGAAAGACAAAAGAGAGACTTCCTTTGATCGCATGCAATTCTCTTCTTGGTAGGTTGGACCGGAATAATGTTTTCTGCAGCCTGTAGTTAATTCTTTCCCTTTTTCTCAGCAATAAAATAAGCAGGGGAAATCCTGAAGCAAATTAGGCATCAGTGCCATAGATAGCCAGAGCTGATTATTTTCAGACAGTGTTCTCTTGACATGCTCAACTGATCATGCATATGCTATATACCACAACTAATTGATACAGCCCATGAACGCCAAGTTAGTTTTTCTCTCAAACAGATCAGGATTTGTTTGACATTCAACTAATTTCCTGCCAATCATCTAACTCCTGTATGTTGTGAAACCATCCTTTCCAAAATTTAGATCTCAGATAATAAAATCCTAAAGAGGTTCTTGTAAAAATGAGATGTCTGTAGACCAATGTTTCTCACTTAGCAGCCTTAAGATATGGGGAGATCAGCTCCAGGCTGGCTGGGAAATTCTGGGAGTTGATGTGCTCTGGAAGGAAGGAAGGAAGGAAGGAAGGGAGGGAGGGAGGGAGGGAAGGAGGGAGGGAGGGAAGGAAGGAAGGAAAGAAAGAAGGAAAGGAAGGAAGGAGGGAAGGAAAGGAAGGAGGGAAGGAAGGAGGGAGGGAAGGAAGGAAAGAAAGAAGGAAAGGAAGGAAGGAGGGAAGGAAAGGAAGGGAGGAGGGAGGGAAGGAAGGAAAGAAAGAAGGAAAGGAAGGAGGGAAGGAAAGGAAGGAAGGAAGGAGGGAAGGAAAGGAGGAGGAGGAGAAGGAGATCAAAGCAAGATGTATAGATTCAGTTCCAGCAGTGATGGTGCCGCATTGGAAAACCTCAAAAACCAGGTTAGGGACAGATAGAGAAAATCTATTATGGGATCACTAAGAACTGACAGTAATTGATGATGTACAATTTAAAATATCAATTTTCCTCCAATTGCTCAAGATGGTATACAATACTTAGCATTTCATCTTCTTATTTCTCCCCATAAAGACAGGTTGGCCGCTGCAAAGAAACTTAGGGTGCTTCAGTGGTTGAAGGCAGGCTAGAATTTGGCTCTCCCCAGCTGTAGTTAAAGACCTTACCTGCTTCATCACACCAACATTCAAAGGTAATTAGCTTTATTGGGTATACAGATCTATAGTTGCATAGATTCATCTATCAATTGCTCCACTTTTTTCCCCTTACAGCAGCCACCCTTGAGATAGGTTAGGCTAAAGGAAGGGAATTGATCCAAGATTTCTCAGGGAACTTCCACGATTGAGGAAGACTAGAACCTGAGCCTCCCAAATTCTCGTCTTCACCCTGTACCAATCTGGCTTAAAGTCTCCTTCATTTAATTTACATTTCTGATCAGAAGTCTGAATCTTGCCTCCTATTTCTTGGGAGAGACAGAAGAAGAAGCCCTACTGGAAGGCAAATGAAATTAACTGATCTAGAGATGGGGCAATAATAGGCTGGTGTGTAACCTGTTCAGCTGGCTTTGAACAAAAGCCCTGTGAGGCTTCTGAACACATTATCCGGCTGAGCTACAGTACACACATCTTGTTTGCCATCTCACATCTCACTTACAGCAAGACCCTGCAGCCCCGGCGGCTGCAGAGGTGAAAATTACAGGGAAGATTTTATGCTGTGATTTTATACTTACACTGGATCAGACGCTCACAAGCTTGGTTTACTAGATGGTAGATGGTAGACAGGGACTGTGCTTCACCCTAGGAAGGAAGAGGAGAAAGCCAGTTTGGTCTAGTTGATGAGGTACCAGGCTAGAAAATGGGAGACTGGGAGAATCGCCACAAGTCTGTGAATTCTAGTCCTGCAGTAGGCATTAAAGCCAGCTGGGTGACTTTGGCCCAATCACCAGATGATGAGTTCTTGTCCTGCCCTAGGTGCGAGTGTCAATTGGATCAATCACCTGAAGACTGGGAGTTCTAGCCCTGCCTTAGGGATGAAAGTCAATTGGACGACTTTGGCCAAACACCACAAGTTGGTAGGCTAAGTTGGGACTGGAACTCACAATCTCCTAGTACAGGGGTCGGCAACCTAAAACACTCAAAGAACTGCAATGGTCCTAACCCGAAACCCCCCATTTAATTCTGGAGACAAACAGAAGTCTGGTTCACCTGCCATAGAGTCTCATCCTAGCGCGGCGTACTTTTTCCTCTGTTGACTGGAAATCCAGTTCCCCTACCATAGAGTCTCCTCCTAACGTGGCACCCTTTTTCCTCTCCCTGTCCTAACTGAAAGCCCTATCAATTGACTGGCAACAGGGAGCAAAGGGATGAAAGAGCCACATGTGGCTCCAGAGCTGCGGGTTGCTGACCCATGTCTTAGTGATTAGGTCACCTAGTCAGCTTTCATGCCTATGGCGGAACTAAAATGTATTGTCTCCTGGTGATTGGTCCAGTTCACCCAGATGGCTTTCGTGACTAAGGCGGGACTAGAACTCATAAATTCCTGGTTATTGGCCCAAAGCCACCCAGCAACTTCCATGCCTAAGGGAGGACTAGAACTCACAGTCTCCTGATGATTGGCCCAAAGTCACCGAGCCACTTTTATGCCTAAGGCAGGACCAGAACTCACCACCTCCTGGTGATTGGGCCAAAGTCACCCAACTGGCTTTCATGCCTAAGGTGGGACTAGAACTCACAGTCTTCTGGCTTCTAAGCCAGCATCTTAACCACTACACTGATGTTAATACATTTGTGATATATCTATATCTATCTATCTATCTATCTATCTATCTATCTATCTATCTATCTATCTATCTATCTATCTATCTATCTATCCATCCATCTATCCATCTATCTCTCTACCGTTATATTTCATTTTCTTGCCCAGGTGGTGTTTAATTTTGTGTAAAAACCACCTATCAATCCAAGAGGAATCATCCAAAATTAGATGTTTAGATAAAAGCTCATCTTGAAGCCGAGTCTCTTATTTTATTGCATACACCAGTTTGGTTATGTGTGTTCCTTACGGCAGATAAGAGAATAATCAAATCACTGAAAACAATTTGAAAAGAAGCTGGTCTATAAGCCATAAAAACTCGCCATAAAATATTATGATTATCCATTTTCATGCCATTACGGGTTTTTATGGATTATAGCAATTTTGATGATTTTTCAGCAGCTTGATTATCCTGAGAATGCAAACAGAGAAAAGCAAGTGTTGTAGTACATTAACAGAGGCATTTTCAAGGACAGTCTATTTGTTCAGCCCCCAAAGAACGACTGCAGGAAGATGACTTCACGAAACATTCAAGAATTAATCCCTATCTGATGGCAAGATTCTTCTCTAGTCATTTTAGGCATCAGCCCTCTTTGATTAAATGTCTCTTCAGGATCATGTGGCAGCAATTGCATTTAGATTGCCTTTAATTCTGGGAAACAAATGACAAATGCAACATTTTCAGAGCAATTTGGGGAACAATCAAGAGAAGGAAAAGATGAGGTTTAAAATTAATATCCGGGTTTGCCAAAAAGTCAAAAAGACAAAGAAAGAGGAAAGTTAGAGGCTGTTCGAAGTTGCAACAACACTGAAAAAAGTGACTTATGACCGCTCTTCAAACTTACGACCGTTGTAGCGTTCCCATGGTAACACAGTCAACGTTTGGGTACTTAGCGTCTGGCAGGTATTTACCAGGGGTCCTGTGATCACCATTTGTAACCTTCTCAACTGGCTTAGATTCGTTTAATGACTGCATGGTTTACTTAACAACTGCAGTGATTTGCTTAACAATTGTGGCCAAAAAACATGTCATGAGTTGGGGCAAAAATCACTTAACAACTGCCTTGATTTAAAACCAAAAAAAATTGGAGCTCAATTGTAGTCGTTAAGTCAAGAACTACCTGTGTTTGGTCCATTTTTGTTGTTCACTATCGGGATGTCTACAAGGTGAAGGGTGTGCCAGTGGGATCAAAGCCCCACCCCTTTTGTTTATGCAAATAGAAAAATAGGTGGGGCTTGCATGACAATGCCAAGCTCATCATCTTCTCTGTTTTGACCCCTCCCTTATAGATGCTACCATGGGGCTACTGTGGATGGTTTATTGGGGTTTTATAAGTGTTGTGAATTGCCAAGAATTGCTGTAGATACGGCTATATGCTGAAATCTAGTAAATTAATAATGGCACACCTTCCTCCAAATATTTTAACAATGGGAATTGTTTTGGGAGGACTATTGAGAACTATCTCAACTTTTTTTTTTTCAGGTATCATACCTTGGTAACAACATCTTTGGTTGTACAGACCATGACAGAATGTCCAATAAATTAACAGGATATCTGCAGGGATGGTATTTGGAAGTCAAAGTAACGGGCCCAATTATGTGATCAAAGATTTTCCCTTTTTCACAACTCATATGGACATCACTGCTAATTGATATTTTTGATCTTTTCCAGAGTATTATTTTGATAAAATTTACTATCTTCTCCTGGATTTTTTAAATTTTTATTCCACTTTTATTATTTTGAAAGTAACTCAAGGCAGCAAACATACTTAATACTCCTTCCTACTCCCATTTTCCCCTCAACACCCCTGCAAGGCAGTTGGACCGAGGGAAAGTTACTGGCCCAAAGTCACTCAATTGGCTTTCATCCTAAAGCGGGACTAGAATTCAGAATCTCCTGGTGATTGGCCCAAAGACACCTAGCTGGCTTTCATGACTAAGACGGGAGTAGAGCTCAGATTCTTCTAACGATTGGTCCAAAGTCATGCAGCCAACTTTCATTCCTAAGGCAGAAGTAGAACTCAGAACTCTGATGATTGGCCCAAAGTCACCTAGTCGACTTTCATATCTAAGGTAGAACTAGAACTCACCATCTCTTTCTAGGCCAGCTCCTAAACCACTATACCAAATGAAAAAAAAAAGCGTATATAATTATATACCTTCACTCCACTACTCTTGTGTTTAAAAGGTGGACAGAAATCAATTGCAGAGGCTCTCACTTAAAATTTAATTAAAAATACTATAGTCCTTAAACGGTTATCAAAGAACATCAAAGAAGGAAATGAGACTTACTTTCTCCCCCCTTTCTCCTTTTGGACCAGGCAGCCCCTGGAGGAAACACAAAAACATTATTATCTTCAAACTATAAATAAAAAAAATAATTATGATATGTATCTGCACCTTGATAAAAGATCTCCTGTAGCTTTCAAGGTTTGCTCCTTCTCTGGAGGAAAAATGTTTTCTTATAGATAACAGGAACATCCCCAGGCATAAAAATGCTGGGTCAAAAATATAATTTATTTCCTTATATAGTATTATGCACATGGATAGCTGCTTTGCAGAGGAAAAAGAAAAAGAAAAAAAAAACATGAATTGCTAAGGGCGTCTTCCAGGTGACCCCACTGGGAATGCCACATTGAATTCTGTATGGGAGTAAAGGTATCAATCAAGGTATCAATAGCTGGCTCTCGCCCCTCCTCTGCCAATCCACTTCTTTTGGGAAATCCCTCTGCAGTTCTGCATTGGTGCATACAATCTGCAAGCGACACTGAGTCCAAACAAAACATTACGATACCAATATTTCTAGCTCAGGGTTGAAATTAGGGGGTCCTCTCTGAGCTTGGTTGCTTTCTTGCAGACGTTTCATTACCCAGCTAGCTAACACCATCAATGTTAGAAGGAAGTGGCTGTTGTGCAGAGGACGAGGAGGAGGAGGAGGAGGAGACTGTGGAGTCCTTAGCGTTCTCCAAGCCTGGTTGTTTTCTTGCAGATGTTTCATTCACCAAACTAGATAATATTATCAGTGGTAGAAGGAAGGAGTGTTTGTGGAGAGGTGGAGAATTTTGGCCTCAGTTGTGGTCGTAAGTCAAGGACTATCATTAGCCAGAGTAATAAAGATGTGAAATAACAATGATGGATGTGAACTTGTAAAACATGCCCATGCTGGTTTCCAAGTTGCCATAAGAAAGAGGGGTGGGGAGAACCCTGAAGGAGCATACGGCAAATGAACTCAGAAGCAAATTCCAAGCTTATCTCACAAAGATTGTAACTGAGGCAACCGGTGGGCGCGAAAATCTTCTATTGGAGAATATGATTGATGACACCCAGCCATGAATGTGTTCCGTTGGAAAATCTGAATTATGATACACCCAGAGGGGTGGGTGGGGGGGAAACAGGATTATAGATTATAAATTACATATCTCAGAGTCGGCTTCATAGAGGTCATGCCAGTATGTTGCTTCTAATACATCCTTTGAAGTTTTTTGAAGCTTGGCTCGAGGCTCATGATTTAATTAGGGCAATCGCTGGAATCTTGATAACGGAAATTTATCACTTCAAATATTGATTTATTTGAGTTAAATGAGCTATTTCCACTTATTGGGTGACTTGGACTTACAATGCACCTGTTTCTAGAGTCTTGGAAGAGATAGTGGTACTTGGAAGTGTGGTAAGACTGCACTTGGAATACTGCAAGGAGTTTTGGTCATCACAATATAAAAAGAAACGTTGAGGCTCTAGAAAGAGTGCAGAGAAGAACAATAAACGTGATTATGGGACTGGCGGCTAAAACATATGAAGAACGCTTGCAGGAACTTAATGAAAAGAAGGACTGGGGTAACATGATAGCAATGTTACAATATTTGAGGGGCTGTTACAGAAAAGAGGGAGTCAACCTATTCTTCAAAGTACCTGAAGGCAGGGCAAGAAACGATGGATGGAAACTAATCAAGGATAAATCCAACCTAGTAATAAGGAGAAATTTCCTGACAGTTAAGAACAATTAATCAGTGGAACAGGTTGCCTCCAGAAGTTGTGAACGCTCCAACATTGGAGGTTTTTAAGAAGGGTTTGGACAAGGACTTGTCTGGAATGTATATAAGTCTCCTGCTTGATAGGGGGTTGGACTAGAAGACCTCAAAGGTCTCTTCCAACTTTGTTATTCTGTTATTCTATTATGGTATTCTGTTATGTCTATCTGTAGGGACACAGTGGCTCAGTGGCTAAGATGCTGAGCTTGTCAATCAGAAAGTCGGCAGTTAGGCGGTTCAAATCCCTAGCACCACATAATGGAGTGAGCTCCCATTCCTTGTCCCAGCTTCTGCCAACTTAGCAGTTCGAACGCATGTAAAAAATGCAAGTAGAAAAATAGGGACCACTTCGGTGAGAAGGTAACAGCGTTCCATGCACCTTCAGCGTTTAGTCATGCCAGCCACGGAGACGTCTTCGGACAGTGACTACGGAGACGTCTTCAGACAGTGACCACGGAGATGTCTTTGGACAGTGACCACGGAGACGTCTTCGGACAGTGGTGGCTCTTCAGCTTTGTAAGGGAGCATTGCCCCCTAGAGCTGGAAATGACTAGCACGTATGTGTGAGAGGAACCTTTACCTATGGCTATCTGTGACCGTGAAATCAAATGAACAGGTCTTGAGTATTTTTAATTGCAATGAGTAACAGTGTGGGGGGGGGGTGGAGCCTTACCGTGGGTCCGACTTCTCCTGGGGGGCCTTTGTCTCCAGGGTTACCCCGGGCCCCTGCTAAGCCTTGGAATCCCTGAGGGCAGAAAGAAGAGACATAAATGGCTAGAAATGTAACTGGATGGAAGTAATCAGCTCCTTGAGGTTCAAGGGAATCTAGCAAAATTAGCTTGCCAAAAGCAGAAGGAGGGGAAATTACAGACTCAGATTTATTTCCTAGCTGGGAAAGAATATTAAAAGAGTACATTGTACATGAGTTATGTTTCCCTCATTTCCCATTAATATCATAATTTAGGGGATAGAACAGTAGACTGTAACAGTGTTTCTTCTAATGATGCTTTGGGAAATCTTCCATATTCCCTTTCTAATAGCTTCATTGTGTAGGGGTGCTGTTTACTTTTTTATTTTTAGAAAATTGGTGCCTTAGTGTCACTTTTGACTCCTACTGGCTGCCTGGAAATTTCCTGCCATTTTCATAGCAAAGTTTTTTAAAGTGGCTTCTTCGTAGAGCTAATAGAATGACTGGCCCAAGATCACCCAGCTGCTTCCTGTCTAAGGCAGGACTAGAACACAGCATCTCTTAGTGATTGGCCCAAAGTCACCCAGCCAGCTTTCATGCCTAAGGCCGGACTAGAACTTACCATGGGACATTAGTATTCCACTGCTTTAAAACTCATTGAAAACTCAGTGCATTTTGATGCAAAACGTTTGTCCCAGTACTCATTGTTTGTTTAGTACTCGATGCACAAGCTAGAACACGGAGCTGTTAGCTACCTTGTGACTCACTACATTATTCCTTATGGGAAAAATTGGTTTGGTACTCAGCATTTTTACTACTCATTGTACCTCCCGGAACCAGATAAAAATGAGTACCGAGGTACCACTGTACAATCTCCTGGTGATTGGCCCAAGATCATCCAGCCAGCTTTCATGCCTAACATGGGACTAGAACTCAGTCTCCTACTTTCTAGCCTGATGCCTTCACTGCTACATCAAAATGGCTCTTGTTCATGATAGCCTATCATACTAGTGATTCCTTTTCCTTTTTCTCCTTGGTTTTCTCTTCTACTTCTCATCTATTTTTTTTTACATTTCTTTCCCTCTGTCTGAAGAGCAAAATAAGAAGATATCCAATTGCCTACTTTGCTGATGTAAGGAAGCAGAAAATGCCTCAATAATCCAGAAACTTTTAGATACCAACCCAGGTTTTTGAATGTTCTCAAAATTGACCACCAGCTGGTTATCCCCCTCCTCCTTTGCCAAGCAGCTACCAAAAGCGAATAACCCAGTTGCTGAATAGCAATGAAAGCATATAGAATGTGAAGCTTGCTTTCCCATTCTTCCTAGCCCAAGGGAACTCTGCTGGTAGCAGCTTTTTGGAATGGGGTTGTTCATTTCTGGAATGGACATTAATTTCCACTTGACTGAAATTGCTCACCCGTGGTCCTGGAGGCCCTGGTGGTCCAGCTGCTCCTTCAAGTCCTCGAACACCCTGGAAGCATATTTATTAATAGAAGAGAGTATTTGTAGCCCAGGGGAGCTTCTTTGGGCTCTCTAAGTTTAGTTGTTTCTTTGCAGACATTTCATTAGCAAATTAGGTATCATGATCAGCGCTAAAAGGGTTTGCTCTCTGTCACTGTTGGTGGGAGTGTTCTTGATGGCTACTTGATTAGGGTATTGTTTATTGTTTGATTGTTTGTCTGAGTTGGTACTTCTGTCAACTCATAAAACATTTCTATGCTTGTTTTAGTAGTTGCCATAAAAAGGGGGGCCGGGCAGGAAGGAAACCTGGAAGAGTAGTGCAGCAGTTTGGAAGCGAAAGCACATTCCAACTCTTATCTTTAAAAGATTGTAACTAAAATACCAGAGATTTTGCCTGGAATATATTTAATTGGAGAACATGAATAGTGTGACACCCAGCCTGTGAACGTGCTCAATTGAAGAATCTGGTTTATGAGACACCCAGGGGGTGGGGGGAAACAGGGTCACAGGTGACTGTAAATGATGTATGTCAAAGTTGGCTTGATACAGGGCAGTGCCAGTATATTGCCTCTAATGAATCCTTTGAAGTTTTTTTTTATGTTTGGCTCAAGAATCATGGTTTAATTAAGAGTGATTGCTGGAATCCTGACAACTTCCTTGACTGGAGTATTGTTTACTGATTGATTGTTGGGCTAGTATTAAACAAGCAAGTACTGGAGCTCAAAGCTCCAGACGTATCACAAGAAGGCAAAATCATGAAACTGCTTCTCACATACTTTGGCCATGGTATGAGGGGGAATTCACTGGAGAAAGCAATTTTGTTTGGAAGAATTAGCGGGAAAGGGAAACCAGGACATCAAAGGACACCATGGCTGGACACCATCAAAGCTGACACCAGCCAGAGCGTATAACAACTCAGAGAAGTAATTCAAGATCAGAAGATGTGGAGAGACTACCTGACCCATAGAATCGCCAAAAGTTGGACGTGACTGAGTGGATAACCTCATCAACAAGATTTATCAGGTAGACCAGACAGGAAACATAACCATATAAGAATAATTTTATTTTATTGTAAAGCTACATTACTAGAATCTTGTAAGTCTGAAAATACAGATCTCTTGCTGTCTGACTTACAGCCTGAAAAACTAGGGAAGGTACCTACTGAAATTCTTTCTCCTCCCATTATACAACGGAGGGCTATGCCCTCTCTTATTTAACCATAGGCAGTATCCCTTAGCCCAAGGGTCTTCAAACTTGGCAAGTTTAAGACTTGTGGACTTCAACTCCCAGAATTCCTGAGCTAACATGACTGGAGGAAGAATTCTGGGAGTTGGAAATCCCCAAGTCTTAAAGCTGTCAAGTTTAAAGACCCCTGTCCTACCCTGTCTCCCAAGATCTTTCCCACATGGCTTTACAGGTGGCAGGGAATTCTGGGAGCTGTAGTTCCATTGTAGCATCACAAGCAGGGTATCAGTTTGTGGCAGCTTGAATTAACAGGAAGAGCTAATTTAATATTAGATGCTTTCTGGATATGACAGAAAGGTTTGCAGGTTCAAAGTGGTTTTTTCTCCTGCCTCACCCCATGAGATTGAGTCATGAGATTGCATGACTAGAGGGACTTTAATCTAGCTAATCTCAGCAGGTAACATCACATGGTTGACCATACACATGTGGTAGAATTAGGGCTAAAGAATCTGTGTAATGAAAAGAAGGACTCGGGGTGTCATGATAACAGAGTTCCAATATCTAAGGGGCTGCCAAAAAAAGGGGGAGTCAACTTATTCTCCAAAGCACCTGGAGGCAGGATAAGGAGCAATGGATGAAAAATAATAAAGGAGAGAAGCAACCTAGGACTAAAGAAAAAATTCTGGACAGTTAGAACAATTAATCAATGGAATGGTTGGCCTCCAGAAGTTGTGAATGCTCCAACATTTGAAGTTTTTAAGAAGATATTGGACAATCATTTGTCTGAAATGGTATAGGGGCCTCCTTGAGTAGGAGGGTGGACTAGAAGACCTTCAAGGACTTTCCAACTCTGTTATTCTGCTATTCTGTTGACATGGATGGGGGATCACCAGACTGTTGACCAAGGGTGTCAAACTCGCATCATCACGGGACTTTTTCCCCCTTTGCTAAACTGGGTGTGGCCGTGATGCATCTGGACCACGGGCCGGGAGTTTGACAGTCCTGCTGTAGACAAAGGAACTGAAAAACTATCCCAGCAAAAGACATCAACAAACCATGTTTAGAATGATATTGTTCTGACCAAGGCTTCCTGAGACAGTAACAATCACACGCTTAGTCCCCAAAACGTTCTTTTTATTTCAACGGCTGTGAATTATATTCATTCACAGGCCATAAGGAGTCCCAAACAATTTGTGAATAGTCCAACAGAAATCTGCCATAGTCTTTTCAGGATAAGGCTAATAAGCACCCACCTTTACCTCCCTTGAAATGCTGCCAACGACTAAATTGCCAATTAACTGTACAAGGCCAAACAAAGCTTCAGAGTTTAAAGTTAAACCAATCAAAACAAGCAAAGTTGCTACCTGCAAAGGCTCATGTCCCTTTGCTCTTCCTTTATCTCTTATGGGAGGGGCCAATCATCTCCAAGCCTTACTCCCGAGTCACCCCTTTTGTCTTAACTGTTTTTGCCTTCTGGCAGCTCTGCGCAAGCGCGGACTGGGAATAGGCTCCCTCTGTTCCTCTGCCTTGCTGATATCAGATTCTGGAGGCTCCAGAGTCAGCACATAACTCTCCGATGGCCCTGGCCCCATTTCTGTGTCGGACGCAGATCCCTCGTCCGAGCCCTCCCCAGACTTCAGGACTGGACCATGTTCCTCCCCACTGTCCGACTCTGTTTCCAGCTCTGCAGGCCACCAGCAGACCACAACAGATATCACCAAAACTACATGGACATAACTGTGAAGGTCTGGAGGTTGAGCAAACTTAAGGAAATAACTTTTACCTTTGATCCTTGAGGGCCATCTTTACCTGCTGCTCCCTGGAGACCCATCACACCCTGTAGACAAGCAGAGGTCTGATTTAGAAGGTACATTCCATGCCAAAGCAATGATGAATTCTTGGCTACAGGTTGTCTTTGACTTATGACCAAACTTGAGTCTAAAATTTCTATTGCTAAGCAAAGGCAATTGTTAAGTGAGATTTGCCCCCATTGAATATACTTTCTTGCCCCCGTTAAGTGAATCACAATGCAGTTGTTAAGTTAGTCACACGGTTGTTAAGTGAATCTGGCTTCCCCATTGACTTTGCTTGTCAGAAGGTGATCACAGGACAGGCAATGCAACCGTCATAAATACGAGTCAGTTGCCAAGGATCCAAATCTTGACAATGTGATTATGGGGATGCCACAATGGTCATAAGCATGAAAACTGGTCAAAAGTCACTTTTTTCAGTGCTGTTGTAACATTAGTCACTAAAAAAAATGGCTATAAGTCAAGGACTATCTGTTTTTGGACCAACATCTTATGCTTTTATTTATCAAAGCAAATAACTGATATTTGCTTTAATAAATAAAATATTTTGTTTTCCTTAATTCAAAAGGAATAAATCCAATGTACCACACCACACACACACATACACACCCAACAGAGACACAAACAGACACAAAGACATATGATATATTTTAGAGATTCTTCTAACTCATACCCATCTATGCATCTAAACAAGTTTGGTTGCAGAATAGAACCTGGGGTGACCTGGGGTGCTCACATTGCAGCCCTGGTCAAAAGGGCCCAACAGAGATTATACTACCCGAGACTTCTCAGGAGCCAACAACTGAATGAAAAACTGCTGTTGATCTTCTACCGCTGCACCATACAGAGTTTCTTAACTTACTGTACCTCTGTATGGTTTGTCAATTGCACGGGGGCAGATAGGACAGCGCTCCAGAGGGTGAACGTCATTGCCCAAAGGATCATTGGTTGCCCTCTCCCCTCTTTGGAAGAGCTTTATAGCTCCCACTGCCTTAAGAAAGTTCAAAACATTCTTAAAGATCTATCTCATCCTGGGCACCCTTTTTTTTTTTTTTTGAACTATTACCATCTGGCAGACGGTACAGAATAATAAAAACAAGGACAAATAGGCTGAAAAAACAGCTTCTATCCCAGGGCAGTAGCTCTGTTGAATTCTACTGTATAGTACACTGAAGATGGTATTTAATTTCGTTGTACAATGTGCAACGACAATAAAGTAAAGCATACTAAACTAAACTAGAAGAGAGCCTTCTTAAAAATGTCAGATTGAATAAGAATGTTTTTTTTTAGCCTGCAGCCAAGTCTCCTTGAATCTGTGGGTGGCTATGAGATAGAATGACCAAATTAAATGCTGGAAGGGACACTTGGGCACCTATTCTGGATAGATGTCTTAATTAAAACATCACAGGCAGATGGCTGATGGCTTCACTATTAGCGTCTACTCTAAAGCATCCAGTGAAGGACAGCTTATCTCCTCTCTGAGTCATTGGTTCCACCGTCAAATTGTTTTGTTGGGAAGTAGCTCAGAATTTGCCTCCCAGATCAAGGGACAACCAAAGAATGCAAACTCTCTCATTGTTTTGTTTTAATTGTTTTAAAGGATGGACGCGATCACTGAACCGGTTGTTATACTGGTGGAATCCAACCCCTGATTGTAACCATCATAAATATGAGTCATGTCCAGAGTTTTGCAGGCGTTAATTCGGTGCCAGAAAAGCAAACACAGATCGCTGATGCTTCATTTAACGCCTTTGTAAACATAATAGGTAAATTTTACAAACCAGTTGTAGATTTCTCCAACATGGAGCAAACTCAAACAGAAGCAGTATTTCAGTAGCTCAGAAGCAGACATCAGTTTCACTTTAGTTCAGCAAGCAAGCAGAGGAGGGAAGCACTTTCATTTCAATAGACATACTCAGAGCTTAAGATAGCTTCAGAACTGCAGAACTTAATATAGAACCACTCCTGGGCTACTTCTAGTTTCAGTTTCCAGCCTAGGCTATATCTAGTTTCAGTTTCCAAACTGTCCTCTTTGGCTGACTTAGTTGCTATGCCTATTCATTGGCTGACCTTGTTACCAAGCTCTATTCCAGTTCATGAATATACTCTGACAAGTCAGTTGCCAAGTGTCTGATTTTGATCACATGACCTGGGGAAGCTGCAAAGTCGTAAGTGTGAAAAATGGTCATAAATCAGATTTTTTTCAAGGGATTTTTTTTTGTTTTGTAATTTCGAGCAGGCACTAAACAAAACATTGGGAGTCAAGGACTACCTGTATCAACATATAGGTTCATATAGATACGTAAATTTTAGAAATGTGAAACAGAAAAATTCAACGCTCCAATGCAAAATAAAAAAAAACCCCTCTGTTTCTCCTAGAAACAGAACTGATGCAGTTTAATTTTAAGAACTGCCATCTCTTCTAAAAACAACCCAACGTTGTTTGCTTGTTTTCCCCTTTCTCCAAATAAAGGCACTATAATATACGTTTAATCTTTTTAAAAAAAAAAAATTCAGGAGAACATCTCAGAAGTGGGAACAAGGAAAATAGAGTTGTCGAATTCACTTCCCTTGGGACGACATCATGCCAGCTTCCTTTTAAAGCTTCATCCATCTGCAAAAAAATCTCCATAATCCTATTGCTGTGACTAGACTTCCAAAGAAATGTCCGGTTATATATTACACAGCAAAACAAGCTAAGCATCAACTCATAAAACATTTTGTATACACGTTTTATAGTTAACAACAGAAAGAAGCGGGGGCGGAGTTTCAAAGAGCAGGCAACAGTGTGGAATTGAAAGTACATTTCATTCATATTTTCTTCAAGCACTGATTAGATGGTTGAAGCTTCTGCCACGAAAAAATCTAATTGGAGAGCATGATTGATGATTCTTGACAATGGACGTTTTTTGTTGGATGATACACCCAGAGGGATGGGCGGGAGGAAGCAGGATCAAGGGTGACAGTGAATTACGTATCTCAGAGTTGGCTACGCCCAGGTTAGTGAAGGACGTAGAATGTTAACTTCAAATAAATCCTCTTTAGTTTTGGGAGTGTGGCTCGAGGCTCATGTTTTAATTGGAGTAACTGCCGGAATCCTGACACTAAGATGCATAGACTATGGTTTTGACAAAAAAAAAAAAAACCTGTTTAAAAACAAATAAATCATCAAAAATGATCCAAATAGAAATATGCAACACAGGTAGTTCTTGACTTACAACAGTTCATTTAGTGAGCATTTGAAGTTACAACGGCATTGAAAAAAGTGACTTGTGACCGTTTTTCACACTCAGGACCATTGCAGCATCCATGTGGTCATGGGATCAAAATTCAGACTCTTGGCAATTGACTCGTATTTATGACCATTGCAGTGTCCTGGGGTTATGTGATCACCTTTTGCAAACTTTTTGGCAAGCAAAGTTGATGGAGAAGTCAGATTCACTTAACAACTGTGTTACTAACTGAGTAGCTGCAGTAATTCTTTTGACAATTGTTGCAAGAAAAACTGTAAAATGGTGCCTAACAACCGTCTTGCTTAGCAGCTGAAATTTTGGGCTCACTTGTGGTCGTAAGTCATCTTTAGTCACAGATGTCATGTACGAACATATTTAAGTAGCAATTAGCAGGAAAGAAGGATACAGAGAAAAGGAAGGGGGTTTTCTAGAATGCTTGTTAAAGCCTTTATTTGTCCGTTTTGCTTTTTTTTTTTAAAAAAAAATGTTTTTATAACTATGATATTTTCATTTCAACCTTTCCACTTGAGTGAAGTTTATTTTATGTATGTATATCTATTCTATCTCTGGTTTTTTTATTAGGGGTTGTATTCAATTTTTTTTAAAAAAAATAGGGGAAAAAGAAACCTCTAATAATTAATGTTTGCCAAGTCCTGTTGGCGTTGACAGAATAAATGATTTCAACAGAAGAGAAAATACGTAGCTCAGGGTTGAACTGTGGAAACCTTGGTGCTCTCTGAGCTTGGTTGTTTGCTTGCAGACATTTTGTTAGCCAACTAGGACAATATTAACATCTGCAGGCAAGCAAAGCAAGTTCAGAAAATATCAAGGGCTCCATATATATTATTTATGAAAAGCAACCATAAGAAATTCCCAGATAAGATGAAAAGACATTTCAGATGTCCTAGAGGTGCTTTTTTTCAAAAGGCAACTGGACTTTCTTTGTTTTTCCTTGAAGATGTTTCATTTCTCATCCAAGAAGCTTCTTCAGTTCTGACTGAATGGTGGAAGATGGAAGGATTTATATTCCTTGCAGTCATCTGGTCATTAGTACTCTCTCTGAGAGTCATTGAGGCCACTTGGAAGTTTATCTGTGCCCTCAAGGTCACCTGAATAGTGCAAATGGATATGGACTTGGGACTCTGAAAGGACTGTGTTGTAGACAGGAGTTAGCGGGTGTCGTATCCCTCCCTCTCTGTGGAGGGAGGGCTGTTCAATTTTGACATAGATGGCTTCTTTGACCCCTCTTTCAAACCAGCGGCCCTCTCTGTCCAGAATGTGAACTTAATGACTCTCAGAGAGAGTGCTAATGACCAGATAACTGCAATGAATATAAATCCTTCCATCCTCCACCATTCAGTCAGAACTGAAGAAGCTTTTTGAATGAGAAGTGAAACATCTCCAAGGAAAAACAAAGAAAGTCCAGTTGCCTTTTGAAAAAGCAGCTTTGGGACAACCGTGACCTGAATGACTGAGAATCTTCAGAGACAATAAGACATTTCAGAGCTGTTAGAAAGCAACTGAAGATCCAGTTTTCTCTTTTTTTATATATAATAAATTTTATTAAGTTTTCAAATTTTAAAAAACGTAAAATAAAACTTTATACATTGTTATCAACATAAAGACATCTTTTGTATCTCCTTACATTTTTCAGTATATGTATTTACTTATTCCTTTACCATTACATCTTACTCTTGCTGTAAATCAATACCTTTTATCCTTACATCTCAGTCTTCTCCATGTTATATTTACATATTTACATATTCCCTCATTCTTTTCCTAATTGCCACTATATTTTCTTTTTATTTCTAAACCACTCATACCAAGCATCCCAGGCCCTATAGTAAATTGAATCTTCTCTGCCTTTTATTTTCATTGTTAGCCTGTCCATCTCTATACAATCTATTATTTTTTTTAATAACCATGCCATCATTTTTCTCAATAGACAAAATTTGATTAGCTTTTCTCAAACCTGATGCTTTTTAGATATGTTGAACCACCATCAAATGGGAATTTTTGAGATCTGGCTGCAAGTTAGGGATGCTCAAGTCCACATGGTTGGAGAGCACCATGTTAGGAAAGGTACATTAACTAGGAGAACAAGGTGAGACAGAATTACCTGTATTCCTGGACTTCCGCTGTCCCCTTTATCGCCCTTAAGACCCGGCGGTCCCTTGAATAAAAATCAAACAATAAATTTATGACACATATAGCCCCTTGCAATACCTCAGCCAGTACATTTTCATTCACTTAATTATCACATTTAATTTCCTGCCTTTTTTTCCTCCAGCAATATCAGACAGTGTACATAGTTATCATCCTCTGGTTTCTGTCACCAATATCAGCTGGGTGATATATCAGTTCGACAATAAGAGCCAGTATGGTCTAGTCTAGTGGCTAGAAACTTGGAAATCATGAGTTCCAGTCCTGCCTTTAAGCATGAAAGCCAGCTGGGTGACTTTGACCCAATCACCAGAAAGCAAAGAGTTCTAGTCCCACCTTAGACATGAAAGCAGGCTGGGTGACTTTGGGCCAACTCCTCTCTCTCAATCTAACTCACCCGATAGGGGGTTGTTGTTATGTGGAAAATAGGAGGAGGGATTAGTCTGTTGGTTATGTTCTCTACCTTGTGTTATTTGTAAAAATAATAAAGACGGAATATACATCAATAAAATGTAATTTAAAAAATAAACATCTTAAGCTGTAGCAATTTGTAGTAGAATTTCTGTGGCAACCATGGCAAAAAAAAAAATTGTCATAAAACGGGTCATCAGATGAACTGTTGTAAGTCAAGATTTACCTGTACTGGAGTGCATAACATTAGATATGTCACTAGAAGGCAAAATCATGAAACCGTGTCTCGCTTATTTGGGTCATGTCATGTGGGGGAATTCACTGGAGAAAGGAATTATGCTTAGAAGAGTTCATTGTAAAAGGAAACTAGACTGCCAACGAACATGATGGCTGGACACCATCAAAGCCTGCCACCAGCCAGAGCATAGCAAAACTCAAGGAAATAGTGTAAGATAGGACAATGGAAAGACCTGGCCCATAAAATCACCAAGAGTTGGGTAGGATTGAATGGATAACATCGTTGTCATCATCCTAATACTTAAACCAAGTTAGGAAATGGCCAGTTACTGCACATGCACAACATCCCATGGTTTAGCTTTAACCACGTTTATTTTTCCAGTGGTTTAATTATTTCTTTATATTTCGTATTTCTTAACTACCCATCTCCCTCACAGAGGAGCTCTGGGCGTTGTACAATAGAATCAATAACAGGAACATTCAAACCAGAATGAATTTAAAAGTAAAAAGTTTAAAACTTTAAAAAAATAACATTATAAAGCGTGCAGGACAAAACCACAAAATCTGGACAGCCTGCTGCTCGATATGCTGAAATCCAGAAAATTCAGCCATCGGAGTTAAGTGTGTTTTGGAAACAGAAGCAGAAAATATGACCTAAAGGCAACTCCACAGAAATTTGAAATCTGAATGCAGTTTTCTTTGGCTGAAGCCAATCTATTTCCACACTAGAAATTTATAGCATCTTTGGAGTTCTCCAAATACCGTTGTGTGCCAAAATAATACTATTGCAAAAAGGATTTATATTACTTCAATAATGGCTGGGTGAGACTATGAAGGTACTATAAGTCACCGATGCAGAGCTGGACCGCTAAATGTGAATCCAGGATAAGGAATAATCTCATTAAATTCTTCCTTGTTAAGATATTTAATTGAATATGGTAGCTGGAACAGTAAAGGGGATAATTGGCCAGAACACAAAGTTGTAACTGATTGGTTGGAGAATGTGGGCTCCTGCATGCAGAATGGGACAACCTGCCACAGCCAACTTGCTCCAGCCAACTCACTATGACCAACTTGTCATGGCCAATTTGCCATGGCCAACTCACCATGGTTACCTAGCCGCAGGACAACTCACCACAGCCAACTGTCTGTGGGACAACTCACTGCGGGACAATTTAACAGTTCTATTTAATTATTTCAATTAGTTGTCTTGCAGCAAGTTGGACATTGAAAACTGACCATGGCAAGTTGGCTGTGGTGAGTTGGCCATGACAAGTTGGCTGTGGAAAATTGTCACAGACCGCCTGCATGAGGCAATCTACATTATGATTGGTTGCTGGGTATAAAGGGGGCGTTTCCCTTTTTTCCCGCCTTTTTCTTCTGCGTGTCCTCTATGCTGTTCTGTGATTTTCCTGATGATTTACCTCATGATGTAATGATCTGCCTGACTATCTTGTTTACTCTAAATACAAATGTAAATATAGGCTTATTTATATAAAACTACAAGTTCGTGTCAGCATCTCTGACTCCATTTGGCTATGCAATTCTCTGACATTCCTTGAGCCAGAAAGTTCATGACCTATGAAATAAAAGCCAGCAAAATTCAGAACTCAGCAGATCGCAAGGGAACAAAGAAGGAAGCTTAGCTGAGCATGTCCTCTTCTATGAATTACGATTTTATTTATATCCCACCTTTTATTATTTTTATAAGCAACTCAAGGCAGCAAACATATCTAAGACTTCCTCTTCCTCCTATTTTTTCCAAAATAACAACCCTGTGAGGTGGGTTAGGCTGAGAAAAGTGGATTAGCCTAAAGTAACTCAGTCGGATTTCGTATTTAAGGTGGAAATTTGAACTCACACTCTCCTAATGATGGGCTAAAGTCATCCAGCTGGTTTTCATACTTAAAACAGAACTAGAACTCCCAGTCTCCTAGTGATTGGCCGAAAGACACCCAGCCCATTTTAATGCTTAATGCTTGACGAGAACTCACGTTCTCCTGGTGATTGACACAAAGACAACCAGCCCGCCTTGAAGCCTAAGGCAGGACTAGAACTCACAGTCTCCTGGTCATTGGCCCAAGGTGACCCATCTGGTTTTCATTTCTAAGGTAGGACTAGAACTCACGGTCTCCTGGTTTCTAGCCTTGTGCCTCAACCATTAGACCAAACTGGCTATATAAAGACCTTTTCTCCAAATCTTTCCCAGATTTGCTGAGATTTAAAATATCCTTTTTTTTTTTGTCAAAAGCCAGGTGTGGGATTCTACTAGTTTGGGCAAACTGGTAGTTCCGGAAATTATTTGGCCCCACACACCTGTCCCTGCTCTTTCCTGTACTTTATTTCCTTGTTTTGGAGCACAGCTGATTTGCGCAGCAGAGCAGTTTTGCTGTGCCTCAGCTGTTTTACTCACCTGGACTGCAGTAGAAGGTAAGTATTATAGCTGAAAATGGGCTTTTTAAAATGGCGTGCACATGCGCGAAGTGCGTGTTTGGCGTGCACAAAGCGCATGATCATCAAACTGGTTGTTACATCGGTTGAATCACGCCCCTGTCAAAAGCTATAGCTATGCTCGTGTCTGAACTACAATGTTTTAACCTGACCTCAAAGAAAACGAAAATAACTTACAATGGGACCTTGCACGGTTAATCCTTGTGAACCAGTGGTCCCTTGTTGTCCTCCTAGCCCTTTTGGTCCAGCTTGGCCTGGAGGACCTGGTTCCCCCTAAAGAATCAGAGAAAACAAAAATATATATAGAAAAGAACATTATCTTGCAGGCCAGAGGTGGTATTCAGCAGATTCTGACCAGATCTGGAGAACTGGTAGCGGAAATTTTGAGTAGTTTGGAGAACTGGCAAATGCCGCCTCTGACTGGCCCCGCCCCCATCTCTTCTCTACCTCCCATTGAGTCCCAGCTGATTGGCTGGGTCCTCTTTTATTTAGGAGAATGGAGCTGGAAAGCAGGTTAGTGGGGTGGGGAGGGAATGGGGATTTTGCAGTATATCCTTCCCCTGGAGTGGGGTGAAAGTAGAGATTTTACAGTATCCTTCCCATGCCATGCCCACCAAGCCACACCCAACGAACCAGAAGTAAAAATATTTGAATACCACCACTGTTGCAGGCATACCAAATGCTACTAGAGTCTTGATTTGCTAACACCAAATTCGGAGAAGCGGAAGACAAAGGAGCAGAAGGATAAAAGCCATTTTTCAACTCGGATCTTACAAATCCAGTGCACGAATCATTAAGGGTTCTCAGTGCTCTCTGAGTTTGGCTGTTTTCTTGCAGTCTTTACACACACACAAACTGTAGGTTAGCATAATCATCCCTATGAGTTTATGGAGACTGTAAAGGATAGAACTTGGCTGAGACAGTCTAACGAAATCACTGTTGAGCTTTGACATAAAGATTTGAAGTAAGGTTTAGTTTCTTGGCAGATACACTCTTCAGTGATTGAGGATCAAGTTGATGTTACTATATAACCTCCATTTAGCAGACCTTAATTTAGTGCAGCTGCTCAGCGATAACTGGTAATATTTTTTGTTTGACTCTGATTTCCATTTAATGGACTGATGTCCATTAAATTGAATGTTTCCGCATACTATTGTGAATAACTCAATTGCATTACATACACAATCATTGGAATGTCAGAAATTGATGCAAACAATACAAGTCAATGCAAAGGACATAACATTTAATGCGTGTGGTACATTTAATTGACACCTGCCCTCACAATTAAATTGAGGGTTTTTGATGCCACAATCCGTTTAACATTGGGCAAATTAATTCTCTGCTAGGTGACTATTTATAACACTCTGCGCGAATTATGGTTGCTTCCCTTTTCCCTTTTCTATAAAATGATGATTGAATTCTGCGACCAGAAACCCAAATCTATATTTTGCCATTGCTTCCTCTGCTTCCTTCAGTCACTCTTGGGTACGTGCTGAAGTCATGGTGATGGAGTTTTGACTTTTTCTTTTAAAGCTTTCAACATTGCATATCAAAGTTGTTTGCTATTTCCAGCCACTGATTTATTGCACAAACTCTGGTTCATTCGGGAGGTTTTCACACTGATTTGGGAGGCAGAAAGATGGAAATACACCGTGGGCATAACAAAACAGCATAGCAAAAGTTAGTAATAAAGTCATAGAGAAGCCTTGGACTTTATACTTGTCTTACTTTTTAAGAACCATTTCTTCTTAGAAAAGGGCTTGAAGGGACCTTGGTAGCAGAGATGGTATTCAGCCGGTTCTGACCCGTTCTGGACAACGGTAGTGGAAATTTGGAGTAGTTTGGAGAACCGAAAAATCCCACCTCTGACTGGCCCTGCCCCTATCTATTCTCTGCCTCCTGAGTCCCAGCTGATCAGCTGGGTCTCCTTTTGTTGCCCTGCACAGGAGAACGGAGCTGGAAAGCAGGTTAGTGGGATGGGGAGGGAATGGGGATTTTGCAGTATCCTTCCCCTGCCATGCCCACCAAGCCACGCCCACAGAATCAGTAGTAAAAAAAATTTGAATCCCACCACTGCTTGGTAGTCTTCTACTCCAACTCCCTACTCAAGCAGGAGGCCCTATATCATTCTGGACAAATGGCTGTCCAATCTCTTCTTTTCCATCTGCTACTTCTTGTCCTGTGTCATGGCCCCATCGGATCCCATTTCAGAGGAGGAGGAGGAGGAGGAGTTGGAACTGGGGGCATTCAATAAGGATGGCACATCTCCCCTGGCACGTCTGCAGAGTTCAGGGACTGAGGACAATGTCGTGGTTGCCACAATGCTGCCAGGTTGACCAGCATTGTGGGAGGTGGCCAACCAGACAGGGAGCTGCCTGCCCTTGCAAACCCAGGAGGGGATCAGCTGCAGAGAGGCAGTGGGTTTGAGAGACAGGAAATCCCCTCTGATGAGGAACAGCCGTCCCCCCACTCGATCCAAGGGCAGGGAGGGTGGAGCTAAGGGAAGCTCAAAGGAGATCTGTGAGGCTGCTGGTGAGGAGGCTGCTCTGCTCCCGCTCCTAAGGAACAGTAGCTTGAGTTGATTTAAGCAAAGGGCAGGGAAGGGTGTCTTTGTCAGGGACAATTGTTTGGCTTCAGCACACATCTTCCCGGCCTTGGAAAAACTGCCCTGTGGATTCTGAATCTTGCTATTGACTCTGGAGCTTACCTTGTGGACTTGCACCTTGTTGATGACTTATGGACTTCCTCCTTGCCTTGTGAATCGGTTCTGGTGACTACTGACAGTTTGCGGTTTTAGGTTGCACTGACTGTGGGTGGCTGCCTTCGGGAAAGTTTGGGGCGGAGCTTTACCAGCCATTGTTGGTCCAGTTGTAGGTCAGGAACAACTGAGCAATAAAGAACTTTAGCGAAGCCTAGATCTGTCTCTATGACCTGGATCATAACATCCTGCTCTCCGGGGCTTTGGAGAAGAGGTCAACCCCCTCTTCTCTAGGACAACCCCTCAAATATTGGAAGACTGCTATCATATCACCCAAGCCCTTCAATTTGTTAGATTAGACATACCCAGTTCCTGCAACCATTCATCGTATATTTTAGCCTCCGGTCCACTAATCATCTTTGTTGCTCTTCTCTATAGTTTTTCTAGAGTCTCAACATATATATTTTTTTTGTATGCTGACCAAAACTGGATGTAGTATTCCAAGGGTGGTCCTACCAAAGCAGTATAAAGTGGTACTAACCCTTCATGTGATCTTGAAACTAGCCCTCTGTTGATGCAATCTAGGTTTGCATTGGCTTTTTTTGCAGCTGCAGCACACTGCTGGCTCGTATTTAAGCGGTGATCCACTAGGACGCCAAGATCCCTCTCACAGTTGCTACTGTTGAGACAGGTACCATATATTCTACACCTGTGCATTTGTGGTTTTCTTTTTTTTTTGCCTGTGTGTTTATCACCACTGAATTACATTTTGTTGCGTGAAAGGATTAGGGGGTTCTACCCCCTAAGAGTTCATGGAGGCATCAACCAAAGTCCTTTCGTGTAGTTCAGGGCCGTCCAATCTTGGCCCCTTTAAGACTTGTGAACTTAAACTCCCAGAATTCCCCAGCCAGTATGGAGAATTGCAGCAATCTTGTCCCATTATATAGCCGAGGGCTCCCCTCCCTGTTATCTGACTGGTCTCTAGGCAGCATTGCTTCCCTCCATCTCCCAAGGTCATTGAAACATAGCCTTACAAAAGGCAACCACTTTCTGACTCACACAGCAATAATAAAAAGGACTAAAATAGTGTTCCAGTATAATAGATTAATTGGGAATTGTTCCCTTAAGTATATCCCAGTCTCTTCCTACTGTCTTGTCAAATGGAGTAGAAAAAAATCCACTGCAGAAACTTTCTAAAGAGCTGCATATATTGCCTTGTTTAATGGGGCTTTTAGGGGAAATCTGTGGGTTTTTTTTTCCCCTTTACTTATTTTGTTAAAAGGAGACAATGAAAATAAGGAACCAGGCCGCAGCATGTTAGGAGGCATCCGAATGACTAATTTAGGTCCAAGAAACCAAAAATATAACTTCAGGATTCTAATCCCTCTTTGAGGTCCTCTAAGGCAAGACTTAGAGGTTGAAAAAAAAAAAAAAGTGGTATGCAGAATTTCAGAACAATCTTCCTAAACTGAAGAATATAATTTTTAGGAAACCCAGTGATTTTTATATCTCCATCAGCTTCAGTTCACGAGTTTTGGATGATAAGAAAGAGAATAAGGACTCGGTCTGAATTTAGCAAAATCAATTGTTCCTTCCCAAACAATATTATTGCAGCCAGCTGGGGAAAGTTATTGTATATTTGAATTATTTCCACTGTGCACAGAAAACAACTACGTGCTGGGAAGAATTGGCTGGCTCTTACACCGAGATATGCTGGCATTGTGTAAACTAAGAATTTATTTTCTAGATTAATACCCATTTTTCCATCAGGAGCTTACCTAAGGATCATAGGCTGGGCTGGGAGATAGCGACTGGTGCAAGTATTTATGGAGATTCTCAGTCATCCAAGTCATGTTTGTCCCAAAGGTGCTTTTTCAAAAGGCAGCTGGACTTTGTTTTTCCTTGAAGACATTTTGCTTCTCAGCCAAGAAGCTTCTTCAGTTCTGATGGTTAGAACTGACAGTTCTTCAATCAGAACTGAAGAAGCTTCTTGGATGAGAAGGAATCTGTCTTCAAGGAAAAACAAAGCTCAGTTGCCTTTTGGAAAAACAACTTTGGGAAAAAGCAACTTTTGGGTGCAAAGTGAGCTTCCATAACTGTGTAGGGACTTCACTGTGTGACTCCAATATCTTTTGTTAGTCATGGTTTGCTAGGTATCTCGTTTAACGAGTCTTGTTCCATCACAGAACTTAAATGTTTAATCAGTTGAGCCTATCAAGCAAACAAATGAGAATATAAAAAGTGCTTTTTCTGATACAGGTTATAAAGATTTATCCTACCCTCTAAAAGCTAAAAATATGCAGATGTGGGAGAAGGAGGGGTAGAACCTAGGGGTGGGGATGAAAAGAGGGATAACAGAATAACAGAGTTGGAAGGAGTCCAATTACAGTCTTCCAGTCCAATGAAACGGAAGTTGCCCTGGGAAGTTGTGGGAGCTTCATCACTTGAAACTTTCAAGAAGAGATTGGACTGCCATTTGTCAGAAATGGTGCAGGGTCTCCTGCTTGGGTGGTGGGTTGGACTAGATGACGTGCAAGGTCTTTTCCAACTCTGTTAATCTGTTAAAGCAGGAGACCCTACACCATTCTGGACAAATAACTGTCCAATCTCTTCTTAAATTCCTCCAGTAATAGAGCATCCGCAACTTCCGAAGGTAAGCTTTTCTATTGATTAATTGTTCTCACTGTCAGGAAATGTCTCTTTAGTTGTAGGTTGGATCCCCAGGCACTTTGGAGAATAAGTTGTCTCCCTCTTCTCTGTGACAGCCTTTCAAATATTGGAAGACTGCTATCATGTCACCCCTAGTCCTTCTCTTCGCTAGACTGGTCATACCTCGTTCTTGCATTCATCATATGGTTTAACTTCAAGTCCCCTAATTATCTTTGTTGGTCTTCTCTGCACTCTTTCCGGAGTCTCAGCATCTTTTTTGTATTGTAGTGACCAAAGTAGGATGCAATATTCCAAGTGTGGTCTTACCCAAACAGTATAAAGTGGTACTAATAATCTAGAGTCCCTACATACCCAACCCTTCTTGGGTATCATTGACTTATCTAACTCTAAGCAGATACTAACCATTAACTGAGAAGATACTTAAGCCTGGACTAAAGCAATAAATCAGTTTAACTGAACTTTGACCTGGTCTTTTGACCTGACATCAGACACCAGTAGAAGAATTAATAGAAGTGGATGATGATTGTCTCAAAGGTGCTTTTTCAAAAGGCAACGGGACTATTTTTTTCCTTGAGGAAGAAAGAAGAAAACACTTCGCTTCTCATCCAAAAGGTTTCATCAGTTCTAGCAGGATGGTGGAGGCAATGGAAATACAGCATTTCTTTGCAGTTATCTTTCCCTCATCTCCACCATCTCTATATCTTTCATATTTCTATACCCTTCATATCTCTGCATCCTTCATATCTTCATATCTTCGTGTCCTACATATCTTTGCATCCTTCATATCTTTACATCCTTCATAACTTTGTACCCTTCAGATATTCATATCCTTCATATTTTTGTATCCTTCCATCACCTCTACCATTCTGCCAGAATCAATGAAGCTTCTTGGATGAGAAGTGAAACAGCTTCTTCTACCTCCTCAGGAAAAATATAGTCCAGGCGCCTTTTGAAAAAGCACCTTAGAGACAACTATAACCGGGATGACTGAGAATCTCCAAGACAATTGGAAGTGGGTTGGTTTCAAATTGCTCCACATATTCTCCTGTTCAATAAGTTAATAATTAATTCTGATTTCACACAACTTACCTTGGGGCCAGGCTCCCCCTGTTCTCCCTGGATACCCCTTCGCCCAGGATTGCCCTGCAGAAGGAAGACAAATCCACTGAATGAGTTCCTAATTTAACGAAAAAAAGGACTGGATTAAGATACAGCTATTTATGGATAATTACATCTCAAAGGGACCAACGTATTCTCTATCTCCTATTTCTCCAGCTCATAAGAAATGTGAAAGCGAACCTCAACCATCTTGAGAACAGGGTAGAAAAACAGAAGCAAGAAAAGAAGACTTTGCAGATAATCAGAAATCAGATTTGGATAACAGCACGAAGTCTATCTCTTGAGTAGTCTAGAATGCTGGCAAAAATGGAAGGAAAGGAAAGAGGATGACAGCCAGCGGCAAAATGGATGGAGTTGATTAAAATATCAATGGGTTTTTGATAAAGGAGAACATTTGTGACTCAGAGTTGAAATGAGGAGACCATTCCCACTAACACTGACAGGGCAAGCCACTAGAATATAAACTGTGGGCAAATCCCCCCTGCTTACTAGCACTGATGGTATCACCTAGTTTGAGTAATGAAATGTCTGTGTAAATACAACAAAGAGCAAGAAAGCATCAAGGACCCCTCAGCAATGGGTGTATTGAAAAATCTGAAGGACTAGCTTGGGGACAGATTGTCCTGGAGAAGGTTTATGTCGACGTAGTAGCTCAGAGCAGACACTGACTACGTGGCACTTGATCAATTCATCAAGTATCCTGTTTTGTTTTGATGCCTTGGTGGCACAGTGGTTAAACTCTGCCCACAGCCTGGAGTTCGATCCCGAGGGGCTCCCAGGTTGACTTGGCCTTCCATCCTTTTGAGGTCAGTAAAATGAGGACCCAGATAGTTGGGGGCAACATGCAAATAATGCTTCTACATTATAAACCACCCACAGCATGCTATCAAACACTACAGGGCGGTATATAAGGCTAAACGCTATTGCTACTGTTTTGTTTTGTTTGTGTTTTATTTTTATGCTACCTGTCTATGTTGTAGTGACTCTGGGCAGCTTACAGAATAATAAAAAGTAAAGAAGATTCAGTAGGATCTTGACAGAGCAAGGGATTGGACTAGAAGATCTCCAGGGTCCCTTCCAACTCCATTATTCCATTATTGACCTGCTGTTGTCAGCACAGGAGAACAGCTGAAAAACTTTGCCTTGGCAAACATCCAAACTCCATTTCCCAACAATGGGAAAAAGCACTCTTAACTTTGCGTGCCTTTATTTTGTCGTGCCAGATGCAGAGATCTTTGTTAAACTATGAGCACGGATATACAAGGGAGAGTGGCTTATTACAGTAATAGGTGGTATGTGTGTCTCCCATTCTAATTGCACAAAGTGCTCCTGACTTCATCAGCCGTCATCTGCATGCTCATCACTTGCAACCAAAATGGCTCGAATAAAAGAGAGCAGTCCCAGGCTTTCTATGGACTGGGGAGCGGAAAAAGCAGAAATTCTTCCAGCTTCATTGACTGCAGAAGCAGCCGCCCTGTCTCAACACAAGGCCTTTGAGGGTGTTCAGGAGACATTTTCAAACCTGTGGGTTTTTTTTAATTTTCTTCTTCTTCTTTTTAATCCTTTGAATTATTGACTCAGCTTAGCCAGAGCTCAACGGAGCCTACTTTGTATTCCCAGCACAGATGCACAACTGGAAAGTGAGCTGACAACACGCAAAGCTTTATTTACAAAGAGTTGAGTTGGGAATAAGGGTCTCCTCTTACTCAGTTGGGCTCTGTGTGTGTGTGTGTGTGTGTGTGTGTGTGTGTGTCCTAGTGCCATTGTTTGAAGAAGATCCATTACCCTTAGAGAGAGAAAGGGCACTTGGGGGAAAAAAAAGTCTGATTTTCCAAACTGAACACTAGGCAGGGAAATCATTATCGTTATTGTTATCTCTAACATCCATTATCATACCATAGAATCATAGGGCTGGGAGGGACCTTGGAGGTCTTCTAGTCTAACCCCCTGCCCATGCCCAAGACAGAAGTCCTTATAGGAACATCACAGACAAATAATTGCCCAATCTTTTCTTGAAAAACCATCTGTCAAATCCACGTATCTACCATTCTTCGATGGAAGAAGAACGGGGGAGGGGGGGAGTTTTGATGTAATCTGATGTAATATCTTAAATCTTGTATCGAATCTGTATAACTTGCACATGATATACAACTGGGGACTGGAGCCCAGATGCCTGGAAACTTGTCACTTCTTGGAGAGAGAGCAAGAGGAGAAGGGGCCATAAAACTTCCTGGGAAACTTTTCTCAACTACGTTCTCATGAAATAAAAAAGGAGGGGGGGATGTTAACACGTTGCTTCTTTGTATTGATGGAATCCACATCAAACTAAGGGGAGGGGTTCTAACTCCCTTTATCTATGCTGCAGGCCCGGAGGCATATCAGACCCTGCTTTGACTATTACCTGGATAACTTCCTTTTCAATAAAGAATTCCTTTTGGAATACCCAGCTTTCAGAAGTTCATTCTTATCGTTTGTAGGGGAGAGAGTCTGGGCCTTACACCATCAGGGACGGAGCGCCCATAACTCCAGGAGCTATTCCATTGCTTAATCATTCTCATTGTCAGGAAATTCCTCCTTAATTTCCAGGTTGGATCTCCCTCTGACAAGCTTTTACCCATCGTTTCTTATTCCTGCCCTTAGTTGCTGTGACGAACAAACCGAAGCCCTCTTCCCTGTGGCAGACCTGGAAGAACTGGAAGATGCTGTCATATCCTCCCAAGTCCTTCTAGTTGTTAGACTTGATATACCTAGTTTCCTAAATTGTCAAATGGTTTAACTTTCAGACCTCTAAACATCTTAGTTGCTCCTCTCTGCACTTTTTCTAGGGCCTCATCATCTTTGATGTACCATGGAGATTGGTGACCAAAGTTAATGTAGTATATTCCAAATGTGGATCTTGAATTAGAATTAGAATTCTTTATCGGCCCCAATGTGATTGGACACAGAAGGAATCTGTCTTGGTGCAAATGCTCTCAGTGTACATAAAAGAAAAGATACATTCATCAAGAGTCAAGAATCATCAGGTCCAACACTTAATGATAGTCATAGGGTACAATAAGCAATCAAATCATACTAGGAAACAGTCAATATAGATCGAATTAGAGTTTCTGCATTAAACTTGTTCTGCTTCCTTTGAACTATTTTAAATATATTACTGGGGAATCAATCAGTCCTTACATTTCAATCCCAAAAGTGGGTTTTTTTAAAGAGGCAACTGGAGTTTCTTGTGTTTCTTTGAAGATGTTTTGCTTCTCGTCTCACAGATAAACCTCCAAGTGGCCTCAACATCTCTCTAAAATAATGCAAATGACCAGCTGTCTGCAAGGAATATAAATCTTTCTGTTCCCCACCATCCAGTCAGAGCTGAAGAAGCTTCTTGAATGAGAAGTGAAAAGTCTTCAAAGAAAAAACAACAGAAAGTGCAGTTGTCTCTTGAAAAAAAAAAAGGAACTTTGGATGAACATGACCTGGATGATTGAGAATCTCCATAGATGTTTACATTTCAGTGTTTGTGAAATTTGTTACCAACTCAAGGATGCCTTCAGCCTTTCACACACAAGACCTCCTGCAAGTCTGAATCAAAACACCTGTGGCTTTCATTGAAATCCACTTGAGCAACCATCCAATTCTCATCAAAATTTGATTTGATGTTTTAGAGGTCAAGCGTACAAAGGACAATCCTGTCTCCAAAGATATCCTGTGTGTCAGGGCTTTGACAAATCCATCCCCATAAGTCTCTAGCTGCATCTTTCACAGTAAAAAAAGAAAAGATTTATTAGGAGTGACCATGTCGGCGTTACCTGGGTGCAGCTGACACTAAGCTACATCATTCATTTCCCCCTTAACTCTGGTCTTTCCCCCACTCCCTGGATATATATTCTCCAATGGGACACATCCATAGCCAAGAGTCATCAATCATGATCTCCAGTAATAATCTTGCATGCCAACAGCTTCGGCTGCCTAGCAATTATCTGAAGCATTTAAAGAATGCACGATTTTCCCCATTCCCTTTCTAATGGCTACTAAAAAGATCAAAGGAGTATTTTTAGTTGACATCCTGTATTTGAAGGACTATCCAAACATAGTTCTTAAAGACGAAAAGGCATGTTAAAATTGGCCAGTACAGGAATTCCTTGACTTACAATCACAACTGAGACCAAAATGTATGTTGTTAAGCGAGATAGTTGTTAAGTGAATTTTGACCCATTTTACAACCCTTCTTGCCATAGCTGTTAAGTGAATCACTGTAGCTGTTAAGTTAGTAACATGGATGTTAAGTGAATCTGACTTGACTTTGCTTAACAGAAGCAGAAGTGGTATTCAGCAGGTTCTGAACAGTTCTGGAGAACCAGTAGTGGAAATTTTGAGTAGTTTGGAGAACCAGCAAATACCACCTCTGACTGGAGATTTTACATTTTCCTTCCCCTACCATACCCACCAAGCCACGCCCACAGAACAGGTAGTAAAAAAAATTGAATCCCAACATAGATCAGATGGTAACAAAAGCTGATTACATGACCCTGGGACATGGCAACTGTCCTACATATTAGTCATTTGCTAAGCATGTGAATTTTGATCATGGAGACGCTGCAACGGCCATATGAAAAATGGTCATAAGTCACTTTTTTCAGTGCAGTTGTAACTCTGAGCAGTCACTTATCAAACTGTTGTAAATCAAGGATTACCTGTAACCAAAGAAGATTAAGGCCACTTCAAAACAACTTGCTTTTCTGTTACCTAAACCTTTTGGCCTCGTAACTTTAAATGAAGCAGATTTAAATAATCATTTTGACTATACAAGTTCATCAGAAAATGATATTTTTCAGGACACTTATTTATTTCAATTTTTATGGTAATGCATCTTATTTGTGCGGTTCTGGACAGCTTTCAGGTCCATAAATTGCACTAACCAGCCTATTAAATAAACCACAACTAAGTTCCCCACCATATGCTAAGTCACAGAAGGCAGCTTCCAAATCATAATGAACACGCAAAATCAAAACAACAAATGTTGTTTAATAGAAGCCCATATGATATCTTACTGGCTTAAGAAAAAGAAATAAATTTATCTGAACAAGGGAAGTTCCTGATAACTCATTTCAATAATGTTCTTTTTTCCACCCAGCCTCCAGATGGTTCCAACATTTAGTAGATAAACTAATCAGATTTTTAAACAAGAAAGATAAAAACTAACTGAAACGAATAATTTAAGATGAGAGAAACAGTGTAGAGAGGAAAGAAAAAAAGGATTATAAAAATGTCTTTCAATTTTTTTTTTTAACGAATTGACCTTTTATTCTTAAGGTTATAACATAACTTTCATTGTGGGGTGCTTGGTACTCTCTGTGCTTGGCAGTTTTCTTGGAGATGTTTCATTACCAAACTAGGTATCATCATCAGTGCTAGAAGGAAGTAGAATTTGCTGATGAAGTTACCTAGTTTGGTAATGAAACATCTGGAAGAAAATCACCAGGCTCAGTTCAACCCTCAACTACGGAGATTTTCTTCTATTTCTGGAACTGTTCTCTTCCACATTGAACAATGAATATTTGCTTTTTCATGAATCCATATGCTTGGAGTTCACCCGTAACCCATCAGAATTTTCGCTTTCTGTCCAATAGATAATTTTTTTTCTAATTTTTTGTTTTGTTTCCTAAATGAGTGTTTAGGATTTCTTTACTGCCATTAAGTAAGAGATTCCTTGTTCTTTCCCTTCAAATCTGGATGAAATACAATCTCTGTCCCCACAAACACACACAACAAACACAAACACACTTCCTCCATAGTGATCTATTTTCCAGGGCAGAGGCCCCTTTATGATTGAGAACTTTAGAAAAAATTTTTAGAATAACAAAGTTGGAAGGGACCTTGGAGGTCTTCTAGTCCAACCCCCTGCTTAGGCAGGAAACCCCATACTACTTCAGACAAATGGTTATCCAATCTCTTCTTAAAAACTCCCAGTGTTGAAGCATTCACAACTTCTGGAGACAAGTTGTTCCACCGATTAATTGTTCTCACGGTCAGAGAATTACTCCTTAATTCTAGGTATCTTATCTCCTTGATGAGTTTCCACCCATTGCTTCTTGTCCTGCCCTCAGGTGCTTTGGAGAATAGCTTGACTCCCTCTTCTTTGTGGCAGCCTCTGAGATATTGGAACATTGCCATCATGTCACCCCTAGTCCTTCTTTCCATCAAACTAGACATACCCAGTTCTAGTCACTGCTCTTTATATGTTTTAGCCTCCAGTCCAGGGGTGAGCTTTAAAAGTTTCAGCAATGGGTTCTCTGCCTGATTGCTGGGAGGGTGTGGCCAGGTTGGGCATGGCCTACTGGAACTTCTGAGAGGCCCATATTTCACCTTTTCCAGACTCTGGGGGTTTTCCTCGAGCCTCTGGGGTGGCAAAAACTGCCTCCCTTGGGCTCTGGAGGCCCCCTGGAGGCAGGAAACAGGCCCATTTCCAGACTTCTGGAACTTCTGGGAGGTCAATTTTCCCCACTCCCTGAGCCTCTGTGCAGGCCCTGCACTTACCTGGTATCCAAAACAGGCCATGTGGAGACTCCTGGGAGGGGCGGGATGGGGTGGACGGGGCCAGCCAGAGGTGCGATTTGGTGGTTCACCAAACCAGCCATAACGTTAGCAACGGGTTCGCCCAGGTTCAGGCGGATCCGTTGCTAACGTTTATGGCTGGTTTGGTGAACCGCCAAATCTCACCTCTGGCTGGCCCCGTCCAGAATACCCAGAGATGGTATTCAGCAGGTTCTGACCAGTTCTGGAGAACCGGTAGAGGAAATTTTGATTAGTTCAGACAACCGGCAAATACCGCCTCTGACTAGTGATTTTACCGTATCCTTCCTCTGCCACGCCCACCAAGCCACACCCACAGAACCGGTAGCAAAAAAAATTTGAATCCCACCATTGAGTCCACCCCTGCTCCAGTCCCCTAATCATCTTTGTTGCTCTTCTCTGCACTCTTTCTCGAAGCTCTATGTAACTGACTGTGTAGGCAGACACGCCGTTTTTGTACGGAATGGAGACCACAGAAGATGGAGGGAAGTCAAGGCCAACATCTCTTCCACTGATATCCGTTGTACTGTCTGTGCAGCTTGCCACATGCAACCCACTTCAGACCAGCTGCTTGGAATTGGTCATTCTGTGCTTGCCAAAATCTCACAGCTGCTGCAGGAACCTGCCAGGCTGTCAGGCAACGATAAGCTTTCAGTGCCAAGCGCGGTGGATCAATTAGATTTAATGCTGCAGCTGTCTACAGTTGTCTCCTATCCTACAGCCCAATGTTTCCCAACCTTGGCAACTTTAAGATGTGTGGACTTCAACTCCCAGAGTTCATGAGCCAGCCATGCTGGATGGGAAATTATGGAAGTTGTAGGCCATCCATCTAAAAGTTGCCAAAATTGAAAAACGCTGCTATTCCATGATAAATGCATTGCATTCTTTTTAAACTTCAAAACTTATCTTCTTTGTGTCCTATTTTGCATGCAAATTAGTCCAGTGTGCAAAACGTAGTCGCTGAACTGGTAGTAACACTGGTTGAATCTCACCCCTGCTTTATAGAGTGGTAATATTGTTTTTGCACAAATAAGTCTGATGTTCTCCCATAAGGCATCAACTACCTAGTTTTCCTCCTGCAAAGTATTACTGAATGCTTCATTTACCGGAGGGCCTGGAGGCCCAGGAAGTCCTGGGATATCAGATGTGCAGCTGCAGGAAGGAAGCAAACTGGGACAAGTTTCTTCATCCCTCTGAAATAAGAAATAAAAAAAGAGAACAAAGTGACTCTTGCTGCACAAAGACAAACGCTCTATTGTGGGACACAACAGTTCGGTCCTCTCCTTTGGCTTCTTTTTGCCTCTGTCCACCTTCAGCTGTTTAGTAAGCAGCCCATATTGGTTCTTTGCAGTGGTGATATTCTACCGGTTCAGCCCGATTCCCATGATCCGGTAGTAAAAAATGTTACCATTCGGCTGAACCGGTAGTAAAAAAAACAGCTACTGGTATTTCTTTGGTTTTTTTCTTCCCAACGATCAGCTGTTCTGATGATCAGCTGTGCTGGGATCCCCCTGTGCTTTGCCCAGGAGGCTTCCCTGAGGCCCAGGAGACAAAAAACAACAACAATAATAATGGAGTGCAGAGGGTAGTGCTGCAAAAAAAGAAGCCACACCCACCTGGTCACATGGCCATGCCCACCTAGTAACGCCTGCAGAACTGGTAGTAAAAATATTTGCGTCCCAACCCTGGTTCTTTGAAGGAACGTTCAGCTCTCAAATTCCATTTGAAGATCTAGTAGTAATTGTACTTTTTAAGGAGTTCACCTAGTGAACTAAATTAATTTACTTCTTTCTCTCCATTCTTACCGAAGCTGGTATCTCACAACATCGGTCCTCCTCCGGCCAAGAAGTGCTGCACACAATTTGCAGTGACTGCAACTGAAGCTAGAAAGGAGACAGAAAGAGAAGAAAGACATCACAAAAAAAAAAGGGTGGCTCTTTGTGTCCTGCAATGGATGAGGCAAAATGGTGTCATGTGGCTGCATTCCATTTTTGTAATGGTGTGTGGTAATGGCCTTGGGAGATGGAGGGAAGAGATGCTGCCTAGAGATAAGAGGAGATACGGTAGGGTAGGGTAGAACAGGATAAAACAAGATGGGATAGGATGATGAGACAGGATGGGATGAGATGGGATAGGACAAGACAGGATAAGATGGTAAGACAAGACAAGATGGGATGGGATGATGGGATGGGATGGGGTAGGATAGGATAGGATGGGATAAGATCATAAGACAAGACAAGATGGGATGGGATGGGATAGAATAGGATAGCACGGGATGGGATAGGGTAGGATGGGATAGAATAGGATGATAAGACAAGA